GTTTCAAGGTCACGGCGCTAAGTTAAGTATCCGATGCTTACGTACGGTCGGTTTACAGCGGATTTTAGGGAAGACGTAATAATTTAGCGTCTACAATAGAAGTGATCATAAGATTTTGGCGCGAAATTCAATTATCCATTTGGATAAATAGAGTTTTGGCATTATAGCTGATGTCAGTTCGTAATGAAATCCCTAAGTATAATTCCTAGCCTTAATCATAAACTGTAAATCATAATTTGAATTCTTCACACAGATTTATAATCTTCATTTGGTCTTAGTTATTATGTTGACGCTCTCAGAGTCACTCTAGCGTCGCTCAAAGGTTGTCCATAACTTATAGTCTCACCCATAATTCTAAATCCTACACCTAAACTTTAACCCTAACCCGTAAACCATACCAATATACTAACATTATTGAAGCTATGTGATCGAGCCTAAAAGAATTTTTGAGACCTTATCATGGTTTCAGAGGTCGACTATTATGGAGCCATATGGCTGTGTTCCTGTACCGTATGCACTATGATTTTAGAACTTCTGAACCTATATCTGACCTTGAGAAGTTTTAAGCCCATGTAAAAGAAGTGTTTCTACTTTAATTCTTCGGTTTCGTATAATATATTTTTACTGTATACTAACTGTTTTTTGATTGGATAATATTTCTCAAGGTCATTTGAGATTCGTACAAAGGTCAGCAGTATAGTTTAATCCTAACGTTTTAAGTCCATGATTATATACGACGATTGAAACTATGTGTATTCCACTAACAGTCATTCATACAATTCAATTGGGGTCTGATCTCGGGCCACTTATGTCTTTTAAAAAAGATTATGTTAGTAGCTCTTACTCGGAGATGACAAACAGATGTAATACAACATTTCGAAACGATAGACGTTTTAAGGTCAAGCTAGCAGCCAAAGTACAAAATATTCCTAAATGTTTTTACAGATTCACGACTAAGAGAAAGTTTATAAACCAGGGGTTCTGTTCTCTTGAAATGTCAAATAGCGATGATCTTACTAACTTAGGGATAAAAGAGATATTTTCTGTCAGCTCCATAAACCAGTAAAACCAGGAACCTGTAACCAGTGAACACTTCTCAATTGCAGCGCCAGTTGAGGTTTGGGAAAGTACCAAGTTGACTCCTGTGTCAGTATCGAAAAAACTAATATCTCCACGCCAAGGAAAGTCCCTAGAATGTAACAAAATCTGCCAAATAATACTAAAACAATGTACGGAAACCGCCGGTACGCGTAAAGTATATGTAAAGTATACAAATTCTGAATGCGGTAAGAGAGAAAAATCTGATAAAATGACTCGACAGAACATCAGGAATCCCACAACGTGACCAAGTCGTCGCAGTTCGATGCGTAATAAAAGTTATCCAGACAATACTTCATTAAGCATTGAAACAGACCATGGAGATGAGCACGAGATTAGTAAATGCTTGTTCTGTGGCAAGTTTTACCCATGTAATTCACGTATATTTCTTAATTCTAAATGCTTTAAATGTGGTATAACTGGACATATTCAGTCACTTTGTAATACCATGGTTCATTTCGCTGAAACTAATGCTAAGAAGGATGTTTCTAATGATGATTTATTTTTATCTAGAAGTGGTATAACGTCACATAACAGTTCAGAGTTGAATGAAATCCAGAATCATTGTGCGACAAAAAATTTTAGTCAACAAACTTATCAAATTTCTTATGTCATTGTACCAGATATGGTTTGTCGTAATAATTCACATACTTTTGATGTAATTTCTTACAACTCTGAGAATAGAATGCTAAATGAGTCAAATCATGATCAAAAACCAGATTCAGTTTTGGTAGATGCTGAATTCTCTGATGATCCATTATTCTCTAATGAAACTATAAATCAATTTGAGGAAAATATTTCAGAAGAATCGAATTCTGATATCATATCAAGTGTCAGTGGTCCTCACAATCAATTTATCTCTAATGATATTTCTATTGAATGTGAAAAATATGTTCCGAATGAGTCGAATTGTAGTCATATTTCTGATGTTATTGTATCAGATATTGGATACTCTCACGAACAATGTATGTTGAATAGAATCCCCAGTCAGGGGTATAATGAATCAGAGGGGATAGCAAAATTTACCGAAATAATCAGAGAACCAGCTTGCCCAGAAGTGAAGTTTGCACAGACAGAGAATCCAAATCAAGTCCAAGATTATCCTAATGAATATGGGACAGATGAATGTTTTCTATTCGATTGTTTCGCAGGTAAATCAAGCCTAGTTGAATCACATGTGTTAATTACATATATCAATGCATATCTATCTGTGTATTCTAATATGAATAACAAAAAGAATATGTATCATGATTTTTATTCAAGTCAAAGTCACATGATGGAATACCTCAAATTATATATCAGTGTTTATCCCCAAATACTCACATACAGTAGTCGATGCGTGAGGTTTGAGAAGATAATGCAAATTGGGAACGTTATATTGGCTAAAACATTGCGACGTAAGGACCCAACATTATTACGTGGGGGAGGATATTGTTGGAAAGTCTATGATGCAAATTCTAAATATCAATGGTTTCACTACACAACCGACATGTTGATTGTATACAATTCTAGAACCCAGGTGTGTCTGTTCCAATTTTCGTTGTTAATTTTAATACTAATGAGTGCATTCTAGATAATACAGAGTATACATCCAATACATCATCGGACACATGTAAGATGAACTTAAGAAGACGAACAATCGATTACAGACACTTACACTCCGATTCGAGCTCTGGCGGATGTGATGTTTAAACAAATCAATGACTTCTTGGTATTGATGATTGTTGTAATTCTGAATTCCAAATACAATACATTCGTTCGTGCTCATCTGATACTTCTTGATTAAATTGCGTTATTCCTGGGATTACTAGTTTATACTACAATTCAAATACTTCTGATCACCATAATCCTCCACGAACTTTATCACATGTATAGGAAAGATAGGTTTCGTTTGTCCAGTCCTCCTACAGCATGGAACAGCTTTACGACCTAGTGAGATCAAATGTTACAGCCCATGCAACATTTCTCAGCTTCCCAGAAGCCCTTTTCACAATGCCGTACGAACTCCTCAAATCCAAGGTAGTGGACACAGTTTTTATTGACCCGCTTCCACCTTGGCTCTGAGACCACCCAAGTAGTTAAACGTATCGTATCAGGGTAAATAAGAGGTATGCGAACTACAGAGTCACAGCATCAGACGTTTCATAGGGGACTATCTTAGGTGCACGCCTCCTCTTGATCTTCGTTGATGACCTTATAAATAAAATGATCTGGGTAGATCTGGTGTATTCTAACGACATGCAAATCTGGAGGTCCATAAATAGCAAAATGTATTCACCTGAGTTTCACAATGAACTCACAACAACAGAAAAATGGGCAGTAGATAGCGGGTTGAAACGTGACCTGTCGAAATGTCATGTCATGAACGTTCTCTTTCACTCGACATAAAGAACCTACTTCCCCCATGGAAACAATTTCCCGATGGTCTCCTCAAATCATTATCTAGGAATAGTGTAATCAAAGAGAGCTTGGATATTGGCTCAAAATCCATGGGGAATTCAATCAAGGAAAATTCAACTATCCTATTTATGCGAAGGTAACTTGATGCAATCACGGCAGAATTGTCCTCAACTCTTTTTGCTACATACACACGGTCGTACCTTGAAGTCTACAATATTACACCCTCTCCTTTCAAAAAAAGCAAAAATCTCCATGACCAAGTGTAAAGACGAGCAACTAGGAATAAATCTCACGAAAACAGACTCCAATACTTGGGATTATCCTAGTTGAGCTGAGAGAATTAGTGGTGATCTGTGAATGAAATATGATATACAAAGTAACCCAAATCATCCCAGCATGTGGATCCTATCAGAACATCACTGCTACGCCCCTTGAAGTTGGATGTTCTCCTCGCGGAGGTTACCACAGCCTCCCCAGTGGATAACTTCAAGAGGAGACTTGAAAAACACGTACTCACACAAGGACTATCACTGTAAGCTTGAACTCGGTGTTCCTGACACATGTCCCATTATTTACAACTGGTATAATAATCATATATTGGTAACTACTCCCGATTTTCCTAATTGTAATCCCTTCTTCCCATTTAATTCCTACACTTCGACATCCTTAAATTGTTTGTATTACCAACCCACTAACTTAGTTATTTACAATGGAAATTTATAATTTCATTGAACTCATGACTGACTAATGTAAGACCACCATTGAAAGTTTGCGAGCACTGGACGGCCGTTTCGTCCGTGTATGAGACTCCTCACCAGTGTGCATTCACGGTCCCGCAGGCAGCATTCAAACTCGGACTCCTCGGTATCAGGAGAAAGCTTAAACTCTAGACCATTGAGTCGGCGTCCAAAAGTGTTGATGTCTAACTTCAACCAATCCAAGATTTGGCTCAGTCATCTTTCATTGTCTTAGGTGGGTAACTGCCTCACACTCAACGCGCTTGAGCTCCATTAGCGACGGCTTTCCACTAGAACTTTTAGAATGTACTTTCAGAGCTAGTCACTAGTCAGCACAGAGTAATTTTCAGCTACGGGTTGCGATCCAGTGAATCTTGCGGAAAATTGGAATCTTTGCGTTGCTTTAGAATGTGTGTGACTGTCTCTTGCTACATGTGTTTAGTTAACAGTCAGACGCAACAATAGAAAACACTTTCTATTTACAGTTGACTTTAAAAATATAGTTTCTTGGAATGGCTACGAGTGTTATAAATACAAATAGTACTTTGGATTCTCCATAACTGTCACAACACTATTTTCGTTGTGCTTTGCGTAGTTTGCAGGATTAATTTGAACATCAGTGAACCAAAAAATTCATTATCCAGGTGCTTTAAAGGTCTATCTCCCACACACATATGCACATGAAAGTGAATAAACCTCAAATTACAGTGGAATGCGTTGTTTGATTTAGATATATTCTACAGTGTCATGGGAGTATCCTAAGTTATGATAGTGTTTATTTGGATAGCATTGTCATTCACGCTCATGGGCTACATCTTCTGCGTGATTTTGTGGTAAGATGACTTAATATTCATATCTGTAGCAAGTGTACGGTGATTGAAAGAACTCAGCCTACCGTAAAAATGCTTATCTTCAGCCAAGAGTATTTAAGGCCGAAAAAGAATGTGCATGAGTGGGTTACTTGGAATATCTTTGATTTCTTGTCATAGGCCAACAGATGCTTACTTCGACCATACAAAGGTTACAATTGGAAGTAGATCTAACGAAGCTCTGCAATCGGTAATCTCAATTTATTCTTCTGATTGCTTAGATATTTGACTTACTACTTAAAGAGTACATCGAATTTTGGTACAGGTATGTATGATCGTCTGACACTTTCTATCTTCAGGCCGTTCACTTCAAACCCAGATTTTATGGTGCAGTTGAAGATGTTTTTACAATATTCTTGTGCAGTAATTGTCCAAAGAGTCAAAAATGTATGTTACTTTAGTAAGAAAATTTTTACTCTACAGATTGATCTTTCGGAGTTTATTATTAACCGGTTCATACCACATTTCTTCGACCATATTGTACATATTTTATCACTTACTTCTGGTAAGTTGTTTCTTTCATACGCGTTTAGTTTTAACGTTTAACTCATGCTTATACTTCAAAATGATACAAATCCTGAGTGTGCACATTTGTACTAGCATCTCTTTTGCCCAGTTTATTTCAAACTTTTCTTGAATCCAAGTTTATTTGACTATCTGGTCTAATCATATTGTCTGTTTACATCCAGTATACGTTATCATAAACTAAGGTTAAAACGCTTTGTAGATTGAAGAGTGAAAGATTAACCTCTGTATAATAATAAGATGCACCTATTTTGACAGGAGTACTGTGTTGCTGCATAGATATCTACCATAATATGTTTACAATAAAAAATAACTTGGATACAACGGTTACTTATGTATTACATTTTTAAATAAATTAATATATTTGCAATATCCCAATGAGTAGAAAAATAAGATTTTCTGACGTTTCGTGACTCAATGTAAGCCACTCCTTCAGAGAATAAATAACCAAATTCACATTAATCCAAGTTTAAATAGTACAATCGAACAATGATACCTACGTATTACATTTTTGTTATATTCCAAGTAAATAAAAGGTGGTCAAATCTATTTATTTATTTAAACACATAAATATTGGTACAAGGAAGCACCAGATACATATGAGCCGCACAAATCTCATTCGATTTGTGAGGGTTGTGATACTGCCCAGGTGTCCAAACTGAAGCAGGTGGTTTTAGGGGGTCACATCCGGAGCCATCGACCTAAAGATCTGATCCACGAGGCAGTGGAGCATCGTGAGGAGATGCATTCCCATGGTAGCCGGTGACCGATGATTGACTCATTGACCATTTGTTCCCTCAGGATACTGGAGTCAGCCCATGTGCACCGTTGGTTTGGAACGAGGGTTTTACAACTCCCCTAGGTGGACTATTCGTGTCCACCAATGCAGTTAAAACGCCGGACATTCACTTTTCGTCCTCTCAATTTCGTAAACAACACCTGTGGTGCGAGAAGGCAATGAGTAGGACTTGTGTGACAGAGGCTATATACGCTTGGCCATGTGAGAGCATTTAGAAAGGGAGAGCGAACTCTCCCCACTGTTGGCCGTATCAGGGCATTTGGTAGCGTTCAAATACTGATAAGTTTTTCAATGGAATTTGATTGGCAAAACATTTTCCACCAATGTAAGGACATTTTTTGCATCATTTTAAGTGTCTTAATTTTCTCACATTGTTGGCAATCGTCAAGTTACTAACATCCTTCAATCAAATAACAAGCAGGTTTTGCAAGCCATTCGATGTCTTGAGGTTATTAGAGACATATTCAGTATCCTGAGATTATTGCTTAGAACTAAACCTAGGGTTTCAATGAACATTTCGAGTAATTTTTCAACTATTGCTTCAAGGTCTCAATCTCATTCACAAAATTATTTGTCAGTAGTGCCAGTAATTAAGTATGGAAATTTTCGTTTGCGTCTGATATTTCTTACCGATCAATTATTTTTCAAGTCCTCTCCTATTGTTTACTTTGTTCGATTCGTAACCATTATGTTACCATTTTCCTTCCTTGAGAGTACATAGGTGTTGTTGTCATTCTATAGTCGTACTTATGGATTAAGTGTCCATTTAAAGTGTCATTTAAACCGAGAAATTCCCACATAAGTGAATTTTTCTCATGGAATACCGAATGATAATGATCTTTGAATTTCTTCCGTTATAAACGATGGGAAATCCACATAATGAAGATCTAGGATATAACGTAATAGGAACATTAACTATTATCACTTCTGTTATTCAGATAAATGTATCAGTCATTTTTAAACAACTAGCAATATTTTCCATAGTTATTCAGGCAAATAGTTTAGTAGAAATATTTATCACCCCCCTCAACGATCATTTATAGAACTGGTACATAATACCATGAATCTATTCCTGATGGACATTAGTTATGCATCTATAGTTATTTTTATTGTTTTTCGGCTTTGTAGATTATATAGGCCCATGTTTTTGGTGTTGTAGTTTGGTGGGGAAATCATAGTAGAGATATACTTAGGCAATTGATCTTGAAAATTAAAATACGACAGATCTTGTCGAAATTTGCATTCAGGCTTTCATACATCTAGGAAATGGTAATCAAATATTGAGTCACAAAACTATAACCTGTGAGGTCACCTACCTGTGTTTAAGTAGTAAGTCAGACGCATTATAAACTTAAAAATCGAATAGTTCAACTCATAATTAACAACTTCACTGCTCGTTAAATTTGATTTGTTCTAGTATGTTGCAAAAAGTTGCGTATATATGTTCTGCCATGAAATGATTCACTGTATTCGATTTCTCCACGTTATGACGGCGCTCACCGTTAAATATTTGTTTATCCTTACTTTATTTATTTCCTCCATAGATAAGTTAAATAATACCGGTGTTAGTGACATACACGATGAAACCCAAACCATGTTAAAGGAGAATCATTTCCGTAAAAGGTATCTGACCTTTAGATATTTATTAATCTTACTTTTAAAGTTCTTTGAAATCTTGTTCTGAAGAAGCTATTTTGTGTGCTTTTGGAGATCGATTGCATGCAGCTCTGTATTCAAGACAAGCCGAAGTAATGTATTTACGTGCAGTGGTCAACCGGTTATTACCAGTTCTCGGCATGCCGCCCAGTCTTTCATCATCAGAAATGCATAAATCAAAAGAGCCTTCTGTTGATCACGGTCATCGCCTTCGACGTAATCGACTTATTCACAACTCTCCTGGACATGGTAGTTCAGAGCGTGGTCGTAAATCACCTGTTGTTTCACGTAGTGCTTCAACTGGTGCGTTATTTTTTCAGAAGTTTATGGAACTGGGTTGTAATCCGTAAGTAACAGGATATATATCGTCCATTCCATTTCATACTGTTTAGAAATTTTTTCTTGATAATTTAAATTTCACATAAAATCCCAATGAAAGAACTAAGATAGTTGTTTATTTCTCTTCGATGATAAGTTAACGTCGAATAAAAATGAGTCCAGTAGAGGTATTTAACACTGACCACTCCTCATAAAGCTTTTGTTACAAGATAAACGGTGATTATTAACCAATTTCCTCTAAGAGTTCGCTTAAAATATCCGCATACTTCATCTGTGTTCATGTAAACCACTAACAAACTTGAATAAATCTGATATTGTTCAAGAACAGCTCGAGTTAACTTCTTCTTTCCTTTTATGTTGGTATAAGATGAAAGCAGTTCGATCTGATGCACATGCACACCAGTTTCTCGAATGTTTATGGTTAGTTCATATTAACAGCTAATTTTACATTCAGTCAGTAAGTCACAACGTAGAACCTATACGAATTTACATCGGTTCAAGTTCCCATTCCTTATTAGCATGGAAAGATGAAGTTGCCATGTCAAATCCCAGAATAGTAGAGGTAGGAACAGTATCAGTGGTAGTAGGATCTCAAGTGTTTTTATTTGATGGACAAATTATGGTACAATAGGGCACAAAAAACCCTCCATACAATGAAAAGTGATGACATTGTGAAGAGAACAAGAAAAGTAGGGTAGAACAATCAGTCGGTAAAAGGTCAATTATATTGTATGTTAAGAGATACAGTTCAGTTTAAAATACAGATAAAAATCTTCATTCGGTTAGGGGAGGTTTTTTCACTTGAGTAACGATAGTAATGGAAAACTACAGTAATAGTGCCACTGTCTTCTATTCTGAGGCATATCTAATGAAGTATCAGGCCACTGTGGTGTACAATCTTTAAGGCTTCAACTGGGGAGTTGTTATGAACTGAAAGATGTCGGTCATACACAACTATCTTTCATACTGCGCCACCATGTGATAAACTGGACACATATCCACTTTTTTTCACTCAGTCTCAGTGTCGGCAAATGATGCGCGATGTAAAAGTCGTTGGGGCAATTCATACGTCATTAGCCCTTGTATATACCAACCTGGTTTAAGTGCCCCACATCCGCTCTCCATCCTCACTTTTGCGAAACCGTCACCACATGAGGTCAATGAACAGGTATTTCTTTAAAGAGGTCATAACACGCGACTATTTCAAGGGACAGAAAAAACTTCCCACCTTCAATCATAGCAAAACGTTTTAGATATTAGTTATAACGTAGAAACTAGCAAAAATGTTGCTTATGGTTAAGTCATTTAATATTCACAGCACGACGACATTAATAAAAGAAAAGTCGGGTTCGAAATAACTTGGGCATTTGTGGTAGATAATTCAGAAGAAACGAATGAAATTATGGTATGAAGGGGTTGAATGTATTTCCATCATTGTTGCTAATGTTAAAGTATATCATCTAAAGTCTCTAACCATCGGCAACAGTTATTACGTTTTGACCACGGCGAAAAAGTTTGCACTCTAAGACATGATTCAAGTGCCAAAAACATTATAGACTTATCCCGTATCCCCCTGGTTTGACCATCTCTAACTTTCTTATAGTTTATTCCTACATCAGTAATCAGTGCATCTTGGAATAGGTTGGGAATGGGGACATGTTAGACGCGAAAATGCACAGACGACTCATCAACCAATCAGTAACAGTGCGTTCAGTTAATACTTTTTTTATTTTATTTAAACACACAAATATTGGTACAAGGAAGCACCAAATAAATATGCGCCTCACAAATCTCATTCGATTTGCGTGAGGGCTGAGATACTGCCCAGGTGCCCAGACTAAAGCAGGTGGTTTTCTTAGGGGGCCACACCCAGAGCCTTTGACCTGAATGTCTGACCCACAAGGCAGTGGAGCATCGTGAGGAGATGCATTCCCATGGTAGCCGGTGATCAGCGGTTGATTCGTACGCCATCTGTTCCCTCAGGATACTGGAGTCAGCCCATGTGCACCATTGGTTTGGAACGAGGGTTTTCCAACTCACCTAGGTGAACTTTCCATGTCCACCAACCCGGTTAAAGCGCTGGACATTCGCTTTTCGTCCTCTCACTTTCGTAAACAACACCCCCGCCACGAGAAGGCAGTAATTAGGACTTGTGTGACAGAGGCTATATATTCGCTGGCCATATGAGAGCATTTGTAGAGGGAGAGCGAACTCTCCCCACTCTCCGCCGTACCATGGCATTTGGGGCACAACTATTAATGTAGTTAATATGTTGATGTTTCTTTACTACAAATGAAACAGCTCTGTTGTTATTTCGAAATATTGATGTAATACTTTTTTATTTGCAGGTCGTTGTCTAGTTTTTTAATAGAAATACTATCTACTTGTGTTTTGTTACCTGCTATGGACATTCTAGCTAATTCTGTAAGTTAAATGTTTTGTTATATGTATATTTATGTGACTTCTTTATGTTTCTATCTTTTTTCTCTTTCCAAATTTATTTCACTGGATTATACTCCTCAAATAACATCTTCAAACCCTAATCTTTCACTTAATGCATATACTCTTACTACTTCTACCACTATGGGATTTGAATCGACAACTACATTTCTGTGCTAATATGGTATGGCAACTCGAACTGATATACGTACGTACGAAGTTCTGCGTTGTGACTGACTTCTTCCCAATAGTTTTTACGAAGTAAAAGATTACACATCGGTCATTCATACATTCACAAATCGCATGAGATTTGTGAGGCGCATATATATCTGGTGCCTCTTTGTACCAATATTTATGTGTTTAAATAAAATAAATAATAAATAAACATTTTATCAAGGACTATTGAACTGTAAATGATGTTTTAACTACTGTTGGCTTTTAACACTAATGTTTCTTCTTATTTAGAACTTGTTGGTTGTATATACTTACATTCAGTTGTTGATGTTCACTATAAGACTCGGATTTAGTATTGTTATGTTTGGGCTTGATTGATATTACTCGATGGTATTTACCAATCAGAATTCAAACTGTAATTCTCTTCTCCAAGTATACTTATTTCATTCATTTCTTAATGTCCTGTACCTTGAACAGTCACACGTTTTGACTAATGACACTGATTGATGTTGAGCTGTAACCAAGGTAATCTAAACATCTATTTATCAGGACGGAGTTTTCTCTCTGGCCTCAGTATTTAGTCTAATTAGAGAACGCGGCAAACAAATTAGATTTCTATTGTTCAAGTAATAAAACATTTCCTCACAAATACTCTTGAGTGGTTAACAATTAGAAAACTTCAAAGTTATCTTTCAAAATGTCTTCTTATAGCTACATTCTTTCTTTAAATATATAAACATTGGTACAAGAAGGTATCAGACATATACACACCACACATCATTCGATTTGTGTAAGGGTTAGGATACTGTCCGGGCTCCTAAACCGAAACAGCTACAAGTCTGTAGCCTCTTATAGTGAAGTCCTACTTTCTACCTTCACTTGATGAACAGGATTTTACGGTGTGAGGAAGAAAAGTAGGCACTAGAATATTAAACTAGTGGGGGCAATCGTCTGGTAGATAAGTGAAGTACAAACCTATTTTGGTTATTATTAGACTTCATTTCCTAACACTGTTTCACTGCCTTGCAGATTTGACTCCTAGCCCAAAGACTGTGGCAGTAGTTTGACTGTTCGAGCATTATCTCACTTTACACGCAATTATTTGTATGGATAAATAATCTTGGATCATGTATAACCTTATCCATCAATCATCTTGTTGACAGTTTCTATGGTAACTTTATTTTTATGTCTAAACTCTTATTCTATAGTTAACAAAAATTTACGTTGTTGATTTTTTCCCCCACTGCATACTCTCTTTCTTTCTTTGTTATTACATTTCCAATTCATTGGATGGATATCCGAAGGATTTTGTCAATCATTTGATTCTGCTATCTTTTCCTGAGTGTACAGTAAGTTTATCATGGTCTATTTTTAGAAAATAATAACATGATTTTATTGTATAATGATATTGAATTCTGTACATACCCATGGTAGTTAGGCAATAACGCGACGATCAAGATTATTCTAATACAGGTGGGTTCTATCTGTAACTCTTTAGAACGGCATCAATTCAACGTTGATAATTCACACCACTAATATGAGATAGAAAAGATGAGACTTCCAGGAGAACGTGTTTTGTAAGGATTGTCAACACTTGTATTTTCTGAACGCGTTCAGAGACATCGACTTCTTGATGCGGTTTCTAGTCCGCCGAAGTTTTCTACTCTTTAATCATAAAATAGAAGACATAAGGTGGGAATTATACAAGAGGCTTTACTTAGAAGGTTAATTTATGTTTGGAAAACAAATATATCTTAATGATTATCTGTAATCTTGTTATTCTATAAACTTCTGGAGGATATGTTAGACAATTAGGTACACAAAGAAACCTCCTAATAATCTTGTAGAACTGAATAGACTTCAAATTAAATCAGCAATAGTAGTTTATTCCATTTTCAAGAACTCCCATAGTTGAAAGCGTGAATCAATTGAAGTTAGACCACCATGGTGCCCCCAAATGCCCTGGTACGTCCGAGAGTAGGGAGACTGTCCGCTCTCCCCCTCCAAATGCTCTCACATGGCCACGCGTATATAGCCTCTGTCACACAAGTCCTAATTACTGCCTTCTCGTGGCATTACTGTTGTTTACGAAATTGAGAGGACGAAAAGCGAACGTCCGGCTGTTTAACCGGGTTAGTGGACATGGCGAGTCCACCTAGGGAAGTTGGAAAACCCTCGTTCCAAACCAATGGTGCACATGGGTTCCAGGATCTTGAGGGAACAAATGGCCAATAAATCAATCGTTGGTCACCGGCTACCATGGGACTGCATCTCCTTATGAATCTGCACTGCCTCATGGATTAGACCTTTAGGTCAAAGGCTCTGGGTGTGACCCCCTAAGAAAACCATCTGTTTCAGTTTGGGCACTTGGGCGGTATCTCAGCCCTCACACAAATCGAACGAGATTTGTGAGGCGCATATTTATCTGGTGCTTCCGTGGAGGGGGAGAGCGAACAGTCTCCCCACTCTCGGCCGTACCAGGGCATTTGGGGGCAAGGCTTAAACTGAGTCACGAAACGTCAGAAAATCTAATTTTTCTACTCATTAGAATATCTATAAATATACATGTATATGTGACTAATAAGTATGAAACTATGTATGTTTAATTCATTTTAGCCTATTGAATCATTAATAAAACATGATTGTGAACATGTCCCACTACTGGAAGCATATATTGACGATTGGGAGAAATGGTTATCTAATAAGGTATACATATTATTATTGTTATTGTCAAAGGGTTTATTCTTTCTGTTGTTATATGTACATTCTTTTGAAGACGTTAGATCCCTAGAACTCTTTTCGAAATGGTCCTATTTTGGTAATTTTATTCTGAAAATTTGAATTTTATGTTTTCGTGCTAAGAGACACTTAGTTGATCTACGGCTTACATTTCCCACTCGGATATCCTTGACTGTCATTTTTTGACGGAATTTTTTAGTATGCTGTTATGTGGCTCTCCCGAGGGCTTTTCTATCATTGTATAAATAAGCTTGATTTGTGTGCTTAGTCACCTCATATTATCTGGGTACTTGTAGAATACATTCTCTATGCCTCATCATGAATTAGGAGGGCCGGGGACAACCGGTTAGAATAGCTTATCGTGTCACTTTGTCACGTGTCACCTTCGTTTCGTGTACTGCATAAGGTGAACTCATAATAGCATCAAGCATATCAATTCTTAGCGGATCGCTTTAATATAGCATTTCATAAAAAACGTTTTAGTATATTTGCATGCAGATACAAACACCTTTAAATTCGTTGGACTACTTAATGTTTCTCTGAAATTAGTAACCTCAGTAGGTAACACGTTATCTTTTGAAGCGAGGTGTACTGATTTCGAGTTTTGGTATGATCATTCATTCTGTGATCTAGTTACATCCAACTGCAGAGTCCCAAACAGATTGGTATAACATATTTTGATGGAGTTTTGTTCTCTAAGCTGGATGGTTTGGTCGTGTAGCTGTTATCGTCCTTTTGAACGACATCATCAGCAAAAACTTCGGGTAGAAGTGAAGTGTTCGAATTTCTCCACATGTGGTTTACGACTTGTTCTGTGCACCTCAATGTTGATTGGTCTTTGTTGACCTTAAATCTGCTATTGTTTACCTCTTTGTTTTGGTTATATCTCTCATTGGTGTGATTTTTGTTCCGATGTTTCTGCATAATTTTCCTGATTGATTGGTTGATAAATTGGATTGATTTCAATGTGTTTGTTTATTGCCGATTGACCTGAGTGTCAAGTTTATAAAAATTCCCTGATATTTTTGGAATTGCCTCTATCCAAAATCTCCACATTTTTCCAACCGAATGTGTGTCCGCAGTTGTCCACGTGTATTGATATAAGTGAAAACATGTTATAGCGTTTGACTGTTAATTGATGTTCATGCAGGCGAAGATGAATACGGCGTCCGCTTTGTCCAATGTAGTGTTCTTCGCAGTTGGCACAATTTATTTTGTAGATAGTGTTTGGTTTATCTTCTTTTGTCATTTCATCCTTTGGTTTGCATAAGATTGAATGGAGGGATTTTGTTGGTTTGTGAGCAACATCTATTCTGAAGGTTTTCAACAGTCTCATTGTCGTTTATGATATAGCTTTTATGTATGGTAGGATGATTCTTTTGTTGATTTCTGTGTAGTTCGAAGAAGTGTATGTGTAGTACACTAAGTTACATCATTTTTTTGTTTGTTTGTTTTTGGATGGGATGAACAGTGATGTAATTCTCTTTTTCCATCAATCTTATTTTCTATACATTTTTTAGCAATCAACTGTGATACCTATTGAGAAGTTATTAAATCAACAAGATGAATTCTATCCATTTATGCAATACATGAAATCAGTTAAATCTATTGAACCTTTAACAGTTTTATTATTAATGTGTAAGTAATTATACTTTAAAAAAAATTTGATCGCCTATTTATTGTTTCCTGGAAGGTAATTATCAGCATCCTTTATTAAGGAACTAAGTAAAGTATATTAAATATAGTGGAGGGGTATTGGTCCTGGTACGGCCGAGAGTGGGGAGAGTCCACTCTCCCTCTCCAAATGCTCTCAACATGGCCACGCGTATAAAGCCTCTGCCACACAAGTTCTACTCACTGCCTTCTCGCCACTGGAGTGTTGTTTACGAGATGGAGAGAACGAAAAGCGAATGTTGGCGTTTTAACTGCATTGGTGGACACGGAAGGTTCACCTAGGGAAGTTGGAAAAACCCTCATTCCAAACCAATGGTGTACATGGGTTCCAAGATCTTGACGGAACAAATGGCGTATGAATCAATCGTTGGTCACCGGCTACCATGGAACTGGATCTGCTCACAATGCTCCACTGCCTTGTGGATTAGACCTTTAGGTCAAAGGCTCCGGGTGTGGCGTCTTAAGAAAACCACCTGCTTCAGTCTGGGCACCTGAGTAGTATGACTGCCCTGACACAAATGAAATGACAATTTTTTGTGTTGCGCATATATATCTGATGCCCTCTTTTACTAATATTTGTGTTCAAATAAATAAATGAAGTAAATTGGCGGTTGTTGTTATGACTTTTGCCCCTGTCAATTATTACGAGACAAAATTAACAATCAAATTACTGACTTATATGACCTTGTTCTCCAATAACACGTCAACCAGAACTAGGAACCTTGTGTCAACTCTGAATCCTTATTAGTCCTCCTTACCTAGCTCTGCTCGTTTAGTCCAAAACGTAATCTCAGCGTCCACTGTATGAATCGTATATTTCAGACATACAAGCAGATCTGATCGTATCACACCATAAAGTGAAAAATAATTATTATACAAGACCAAGTGAAAAGTGTCTGTTTTTGTCAGATACTGTAACTAATAAATTGGGAATAACTTTAGTCCCGCATCTAAACCCCTATTCACCTTCTTCGATTTGGGCAACCGTTTACTGTTATTGCCCCCAAAGTTAATTTACTAGTACCCTGTGAAAATAAGCATATTATTATTATCCTACAATTCGCTCCCATTGTGGGGTGGTAAAATTGCTAAAAATATTTGATGTCTGACGGAAACACCTTATTGACACTAATACAGCAGACAATACAACTTCACCTTTGTATTTCATGTCGCTAATTTTCATTTTATTGCTCTTTTACCGATCTTCCCGAACATGGTAGGATCTAAACAATCATCAGCCACCGATGGAGGGGCGGCCTGCTTAAACATCTGGGCTACCTGTTTCCCGTCATCTATATATTTCAACAAGTTATCTAATATTGTTTGTTTTAATACATCATTATGGCTATTAAGCACACAACCTATTCCGGTGCGTTTCTGAAAACTGTACAACCTTTCGCTGTAAAAGTTAGAAAAGGTCTAATCAGAGATGTCGTGTTTGCTGGGAACATGCAGCAAAAAAGGATATACATTATTCATATGTCGATTGACTGAACTTCTGACATCCAACTGGCGATCACTGAATGTTTATCATCAGGAGCAACGAAGAAATAAGAAACGTAAATATGTTGAAATACTTTATGCTGAGAATTCGATTTTGTACCAAATAATATAATATTGAATCAAGCTAATAATAATAATAATAATAATAATAATGTATTCCAACCCTCATATAGTCCTTTTGAAGCATTACGACATTGTAGCTCGATCAGCATATAGAACCTATGATTAGAACAAGTGCTAGCTACCAGATAATACTAAGGCTTATCGATGATTATTGCTTATGGAAACTAATCTTCATAGATTATTGTCATTTTTGTTGTTGTTCGGTCTTTTATTTCTATTCAAACAAAATAGATCAAATTAATTCACGTGTCTCAAAATCTATACTCACATCAGATGCATGTCATGAAATCAGTGCACAATTACAACATATTTTAAATATATTAAATGGTCAAATGTTTAATGATAATAACGATAATGATACTATGGATCATGTTGACATGGATCATCATGATCATCGCCGTCGTCATCATCATCATCATCAATCTATTTATCAAATGTCGAAAATGTTTACACAGAATCAATCTACCGAACCCATAACAAATAGTAAACATTTACAAATTTTTAATATCTCTAATGAATTTGAAGAATTATTAAAAGTTAGTCTTAAATATTGTTCTCCGGAAACAGTTCATCAACTTGTTAATACATCACAATGGAAAGAGTAAGTTTTTATTATCAGAATGGGTTTTTTTGTGTGTGGAAATTTCAGTGTTTTCATAGTTGAAAGTGTGAGTCAATTGAAGCTAGACTATCAGGGAAAACCTAGAAGCAATGGACGGCCGTTTTGTCCTATTGTGGAACTGCTCAGTGGCAGTGCGCATCCACGACCTCTTTACAAAAAAAAGAAGTGTTTATTACGTTTTTACAGTAGTGGAATGTAGTGAAATGCTTTGGTATTCCTAGTGAATAAAACTTCTATGAAAATCAACACTGGTTGGTAGGTACATACAGTTGATGAGTTTTAAACGGAATGAACTCCAAATTCTAGATACCACTACCTTGATGTGTTGATCGTGGCTGGATATCATAATGATTCAACTGAGCTATATTGACTGCTTCACTTGTCTCTCTAGGTTCTACCATACAGATTATTTACAGAATTACAGGACTGAAAGTGCCATACTCATAGTCGGAGTGCAAGGTTTTACTGCTGACTGCACAACGGTATGATAGCATTAAGGCGTTTTCCCCCAAATAACCAACATTTGCAGCAATCCAGCGTTTTCATAAACGTAATAAAAGGGTTAGAAAAGGTCAATCCTAAGATATTTGTAAAGTGTGGTCAATAAACAAACACCAATCACCAATCAGAATTTACCCCCCTCCCCTTATGTATGCAAAAACAATTTGTTTTAACATCATAAGCAAAGATGAATAGTGGCTATCAGTGAAATCTAGGTTGTACATTTCATCCTATTTGGGACTCGTCAGCTGCGTGTACCCGCATCTCATAGTTGATGTTCATTCTGGGGCTGGAACCTAGTACTTTTCGCTTCAAATGCCATCACGTTATCCACTGAGTCCTGATATCCACTTGCTTGTGTAATAACAAGTGAATTTAATTTATCATAACCTTGAATGTTTCCTGGTAATCCTTGAGTCATTTTATGGCCTAGAGTAATGCAACAATTTCTTATGCTTTCTATGCGATGTTAATTTTTTTTCTCTCTTTCTCCTCTATAAATTGGTTTACTTGGACTTGATTGACCTTTATTATTAATTTTCATATAAAATGTGTGATCAGATTGTTGTAAATATACATCACGTTTTTTTTAGATCAACTTTGTCTTCTCATTATTCTATCGAGATCATAATTCTTATGTTTATTATAAACGATATTAAATTCTTACTTACTTACATACTTACGCCTATTACTTCTAATGGAGTATACGCCGCTGACCAGCATTGTCCAACCCACTCTATCTTGGGCCTTCTTTTCTAGTTCTATCCAATTTTTGTTCACTCTTTTCATGTCTATCTCCATTTCTCGGTGTAATTTGTTCTTTGGTCTTCCTCTCCTCTTTTGGCCTTTAGGATAGTTTACTTGTTCTGACTTTGGTTAAGCTAAGACTCTATGCTCGACAGTCTAGAGAATAGTTTAGAATTAAATCTGTAACGAATTACTTCCTACATATATCACACCTCACTCTACCTTGTACATTATTGTCTGAGGCGGTAAAGCCTTTTAAAGTATGGAGCTAATACATCTATAACTTTCCATAAATAGGCTGTGTGTGTTAGGCCTCAAGTAGTTGTCCAATGGATCCTGAGGTCATACTCCGAATTCCCTAAGTTCACTATTAATCCAGTTTCTTTTCCAGATTGTCCAAGAAGAAATATCCTTTCATAGTGTGTTGTGACTTTAAGCTCGGCTAGTTATCACGTGACTTATTCGTCAATCGAAATACGACTTATTCCATCTTTGTACTGCGCTAAACCAATGACATTCGACCGGTATGAGCAGCCTAGCGTCCTTATTGATCTTTTGTTTGCCTAGTCCGTCCAGTTGAGTCCAGAATGCCAATAACAGCTCCCACTATGTGAATCATTTATTCCAAACATACTTAGCTTATATACCAGCGAAACAGACCGCATCACACCATGAAATAGGAAATAACATTTATTCAAGATCAAGCTAGAAAGTGCCTGTGAATGTGGCAGACTGTAGTCAATAAACTAAACATAACTTAAGAACAGTAAAACGTATAATAATAATAATCTACAAGTCAAAATAAAGCTTATAATAAAAGGAATATAGATACACATAATCTAGTAACTGAACAGTTATACAACAGGAATATATGTATTATATTATTTCATTAATAGCTCTCAGAAGTTACCCGTAATTTAATCTTCACTAGGATATAACAGTGTGGACAACCATGAAGTGACAACTCCCCCTATATCTCTAACAACAGCATGTGAGACCACATCGTTCATAATAAAAACCTTATCTTCAATCCTACTGTACAGAGCTGAAAGGTGGAGAACTACTACAACCATCGTCAAGGTGCAAGTATTTATAAACAGTTGTCTTTGCAAAATACTCAACATTTACTGACCGGATACCATCAGCTTCAGCCTTCTATAGAAGAGGACAAACCAGGTTCCAGCTGAAGAGGAAATTAGGAAAAGGCGTTGGAAGTGGATCGGACATACATTAAGGAAATCACCAAACTGCATCACGAGGCAAGCGCTAACTTGGAATCCGGAAGGGAAACGGAAAAGAGGAAGGCCAAAGAACACATTAAGTCAGGAAGTAGAAGCAGATATGAAAAGGATGAATAACAACTGGAAAAGATATCCGAGGACAAGGAGCGAGAATAGTATTGTTAGTAGAAAGCGTCATTTCATTTATTTGTGCGAGGGCTGTGGTACTGCCCAGATGTCCAAACCGAAGCAGGTGGTTTTCTTAGGAGGCCACACCCCAAGCCTTTGACCAAAAGGTCTAACCCACTAGGCAGTGGAGCATTGTGAGGAGATGCAGTCCCATGGTAGCCAGTGACCAACGATTGGTTCATACTCCATTTGTTCTCTCAGGATACTGGAGACAGCCCATGTGCACCATTGGTTTGGAATGAGGGTTTTCCAACTCCCATAGGTTGACTTTCCATGTCCACCAACCCGGTTATAGCGCCGGACATTCACTTTTCGTCCTCTCATTTTGGTAAACTACAGTAATGTCACGAGAAGGCAGTGAGTAGGACTTGTGTGATAGAGGCTATATATACGCGTGGCCTTGTGAGAGCATTTCGAGAGGTAGGGTAGCCCCTCCTCACTCTCGGCAGTACCAGGGCATGAATAACAACTGGAAAGGTTTGCCCAGGACAAGACTGAATGGAGAATGCTGGTGGGCGACTTATGCTCATGTACGAGGGGTAACAGGTGTAACTAAGTATCTTTATCCGACTTCACTTTCGATCACAAACCTATCTGTTGTGGCTGATCAGTGCTTTGATTGTTCTGCACTTATATGGTTCGCTCACTTCTGTATTTATCTACATGCATTTCTCTTTCTCTGTTTTTTTGTTTTCAGAACCTATCAGTCAGTTTGTAAGACAGTTGAACTACGATTTATACCTATGTATTTGGAAAGCCCGGAATATATAAAACATTCATTTGGTTTTTCACATATTTCAACTTCTTCAGTATCATCATTAAATAAGATTGGAGTGTAAGTGAATCGCGTTTATTCCTTTTTCAATGTTTGTACACTAAGTCCTTCGTTAATCCTCCACCCTGGGTTTAAGCAACTCGGGTGATATTATTAGCCTCCACATTTGTAGTTTGGCTCATACCCAAGTGACCTGGTGTATGTTTTAGCAACAGCAGTCAGAAGTGGGATGCATGATTGCAGAAGACTGGATTGAATAGAACAGGATGGGAAACAGACAGTAACTTTAATAACAACGGAATAAGAATAATCATGAAATATTTAAACGACAACTGAAGGAAGATATGCAAATAATATAATTAATGTATGATTTTCATATTTCACGAAAGCACTGTGTAGTTTTTCATGAAACAGTAAATTGGCTTTCCCCACCTTAGTTCTCGTTCATAACACTAGTACCATTTACTTTAAACGGTATCATGTTGTCCATTTGGCAACTGCGTCTAGATTGCCACTCACTTTTGTAACAGATATGAGATATAGTCAGTCAGTCAGTCATCTACAACGTAGGACCAGGCACATTTATGCATTGGTCCAAGTTGTCATACCTCGATATGAGATATAATTCCTTTCTTGTATGAACATCAACTTTGGGATGCAGGTAAATCCAACTAATGAGTTCCGAATAGAACGAAATGCGCATCGTCTATTTCACTACTAGCCACATTCCATCTATTGTATATCAACTTGTGGTAGGTAAATGGCTATATGGAGGGAATTCACACAGGATCCACATGCACCAACCAAGATTTATCAAATTTCAGTCAAAAATATCAACAACGGGATAATCCGAACTTTTTCAATCTGAATCAGAACGAGAAATTTTTTCAGCGTATACTTACCCTCCAATTTCCTAATACAATCCCTGCCATTGTAATGTTTTTGCATTCCTTGCGAAATTCGACATTCATTCATTGAGGGTTTTAAAGTTTTGTTTGCTCGGGTGATATCTACCTAAACTAGATGAAATCAAGCAGACATGTATTGAAAGCTGTTAAATACTGTGAGCTTACTGTTTCTAAGCTTATCACTCCACAGGGGATGGTTTGAAGAAAATTAGGGGCGGCCAAATCAAAACATGACATCAATGCTTGAAGTCACTAACTTCTAGTCTGAGCCATGTTGGCAGATGCAGACTACTTTGTTGGGGTCCGCGTGACCATCATAACCCATGGTTGGAGACTCTAGGTGACATGGCTCAGAATCTATCACAATGGCGTAGGTGTATACACTATTTGTCTTCCCTTAAACCTTGAGATTAAAATTGCTTCATATGTTTTTTTTCCTATACTATATCCTTATATACAATCTTTCTTTTATATATTAACACCATTAAATAAACTACTTCTGTGAACTCGGTGTTCATCTTGTTGTGCTAATGAGGTTAGCAACTTGGACCGATGCATAAATGTGCCTGGTCCTACGTTGTAGCTGACTGACTGACTCCACAGTAATACACTCACCACAGCCTTACATGCTACTGAATTTCAAAAAATGAAACTACAGGGAATATATTCAATGGAATATTATTGATTTTCAAGATAGTTTTATGTAGAAGACTGATGTTTTTTATTTTGGCTTGAAAGTCACCGTTGTTTGTCAGTATCAAGTTCTTTGAACTGTTTATTTATTTATTTAAACACATAAATATTGGTACAAGGAAGCATCAGATACACAGTCGCCTCACAAATCTCATTTGATTTGTGTGAGAGCTGTGATACTGCCCAAGTGCCCAGACCGAAGCAGGTGGTTTTCTTAGGAGGCCACACCCCAAGCCTTTGGCCTAATGGACTGATCCATAAGACAGTGGAGCATCGTGAGGATATGCATTCCCATGGTAGCCAGTGACCAACAATTGATTCATACTCCATTTGTTCCCTCAGGATACTGGAGTCAGCCCATGTGCACCATTGGTTTGGAATGAGGGTTTTTCAACTTCCCTAGGTTGACTTTCCATGTCCACCAACCCGGTTATAGCGCCAGATATTTGCTTTTCGTCCTCTCAATTTCGTAAACAACACCTGTGGTGCGAGAAGGCAATGAGTAGGACTTTTGTGGCAGAGGCAATATACACGTGGCGATGTGAGAGCATTTGGAGAGAGAGAGTTGACTCTCCCCACTTTGCCGTAGCGGGGCATGTGGGGCCCTTGAACTGTTTAGTTTAAATCGAATGTTTTCATTGTCATTCAGTAAAAAATCATCATTACTCAGTCAGTCAGTCAGTCAGTCAGTCACAACGTAGAACTTCGTACGTACGTACATCAGTTCGAGTTGCCATACCACATTAGCACACAGATGCAGTTGTCGATTCAAATCCCATAGTGGAAGAAGTAGTAAGAGTATAATCAGAAATCCAAAAGATTAGGGTTTGAAGAAATTATTGAAGGAGTATAGTACAGTGAAATATATTTGGAAAGAGAGAAAGATAAAGACATGAGAAATTCAGAAGATTAGAATTTGGTAGAACACAAAGAGTGGATGCACCTTCGCCATTGCAAACGATTTTGAGCCATGTCATTCAAGGCCTCTAACCATCGGTTGCTGTCATCTCGCGGATCCCAACCAGGTAGTCTACACCTACCAACATGGCCCAGTCCACTTGTCAGTGACTTCATTGATTTGTGCCACGTTTTGGTCTGGCCACCCCTAGCTTTCTTCCAACCTACTCCTACACCATGAAACATTGCACGTCGGGGCAGTCGGTGGTCGGGCATACGTAACACATGTCCCAGCCATCTCAACTGATGAAGTTTCACTACTTCATCAATCGATTTGCCATCCCTACCTAGTACTCGTTTCCTAACAACTGCATTACTTACCCGGTGGTCCCAGGATATACGAGCAATGCTTCGAAGACACCTATGATCGAACACTAGTAGCCTACGAATATCCTCTACTCTTACCGGCCATGTTTCACTTCCATAAAGTAGGACGGAACGGACTGCTGCACAGTAAACCCGTCCTTTTGTTGCTAGACGGATATCTCGCCTACGCCACAAATGATGCAAGTTGGCGAAAGCTAGGCGAGCCTTCTGTATCCGTGCTGAGATTTCGTCAAACACCAGACCACAAGGGCTGATGAGACTCCCAAGATAAGTGAAGTGGTCTACACGCTCAACTACTTCACTCCCTATCATTAGTTCAGGTGTCGCTGCAACCCAATCCTGAAGTAACATTTTGCACTTCGAGGGAGAGAATCGCATCCCGAACATGCCTGCATTGTTGCTTATGGTGGTCAGAAGACTCTGCATTTTGTCAGCGTCTTCACCGAGTAAAACTATGTCGTCGGCGTATTCTAAGTCAACAAGTGAGCCTCCCGGTAAGAGTTCAACTCCTGGAGGCTTAGCTGATGAAAGTGCTGTCTCTAAAAGTATGTCAATGACAAAGTTAAACAAAAATGGGGAGAGTGGACAGCCCTGACGAACGCCACTTGTGGTAATCAGTTCTGATGACAGTTCGCCATAGGCTCTAACTCGACCAGTTGTGTTCGAGTAGAGAGCCTTTATGAGGTTAATGTACTTCTTTGGTACTCCTTTCAGTGACAAACATTGCCATAGAACCTCACGATCAACGGAGTCAAATGCCGCCTTAAGGTCAAGAAATACTACTATTGTGGGACGTCTGAATTTGTGTCTATGTTCTAGAACCTGACGTAGGGTGAATATCTGGTCTATGCAACCACGTCCAGGTCGAAAACCAGCCTGGTTTTCTCTAGTCTGCTCTTCACGAGCTTTGGTTAGGCGACCTAGTATTATTGAAGCTAATATTTTAGACACTATATTAGTCAAACTGATCCCTCTGCGATTGTCACAGGAGGACTTTTGTCCTTTCTTATAGACTGGCACAATCAGTGATTGGGACCAGTCAGATGGAATTACGTCCAGTTCCCAGATTCTACCTAAGACCTCAGTCAATCTCACTGCTAGTACTGGACCACCATCCTTAAAAATCTCAGGGGTCAACCTGTCAGGGCCTGCTGCTCTCCCTCGCTTCAGATTTCCTATAGCTTTTTCAACCTCACAGAGGGTTGGAGGACTTACGTCAATTTGCCATTCAGGACGACTGGGGATCGTGGGTAATTGAAGCGTGGCTGAAGGCCAGTTGAACTGATCCCTAAAGTGTTCTGCCCATCGATCCAATCTCCTGGATTGAGAATGAATAATATGCCCATCTCTATCTGAGATGGTTTCACTGATATTCGGGTTCCTAATGCCGGTTTCTTTAACGAGTCTGAATAGCTGCCTACTGTTACCTATTGCCGCTGCCTTTTCCATCTCTCTTGCTTTCCCTACCCACCACTGTTCACGATCATTACGTAGGCTTCTTATAAGCCTGCGCTTAAGTTGACTCCGCTCTTCGTTATGCTCAGAGCCAGGTGGGATGAGTTTACGAGCATCTATCAGTGCGGAAGATGCTGCCGAGATCCATTGTTTCTCCCTAACGTTATGGTTTACCTTACTAGCGGACATCACTGCTGTTTCCACAGCTTTTCGGATGTCATTCCACGCTGCCTCGGGGTGGACACAACTTACATGGCTGCCTAACTGTTTTTCTAGTTGTTCCTGATATATATTCTTAGCTTGCCTATCATTAAGTAGAACCCTTAGAGGCTTCCCTGCAGTGTCTTTCCTACGACCAGTAAGACGCAGACAGATACGTGCTCGCACTAGAGCATGATCTGAATCTAAACATGTGCCCCAGAATGAGCGACAGTCTTCAATCGAGCCCCTCCATCGGTGGCTGATAGCGATGTGATCTAATTGGGTCCAACGCTGGGACGAATTCGGGGGTCACCATGTCAAAAGATGTTTTTCCTTATGCTTAAAGTTAGTATTTGCAAGAAATAGGCGGTTATCTGAGCACAGCTGCAACAGACGGTCGCCATTATCTGTTCTTTTCGCCATGACACCATAAGATCCCCCCAGGTGTCTTTCCCTTTCACTTAGTTTACCTACTTGAGCATTAAAGTCACCTGCTACTGTTACAACATCAGAACGCCTAGCTTCTCGGAGAAGGTCAGAAAGTTTTCTGTAAAACTCATCTTTTATATCGTCTGAGCTGCAGTCAGTGGGAGAGTAGGCAGAGACGACGAAGAGGCAACGACGAGTTTCCCTATCTTTCCGGGTCCTTACTGATCCGTTTAGTCGGACAGCGCATAGACGACTGTCTACTGGGATCCAGTCTAAAAGAGCTAGTTCTGCCCTAGGACTTAATGCTATACCTACTCCAGCGAGGCCACGGGAAGCAGCGTCAGGGCTTCCAGATACACGAAGCGTGTATCGAGATGAAACTTTATTTTGATTAGGTGAGGTCAAATGAATGACACTACTCGGATCTTGTATGCGCGTTTCGGAGACGCAGCACACATCGATGGTGTAAGATTCTAGAGTCCTAGCTAAGGAAGCCTGTTGTCCTATTTGGCACAATGTTCGGACATTAAAAGTTCCTATATGTAGTTTAGAGCGTGGTTTCAGGAGACCAGAAATAACGTTCTGTGTACTCGAATCGTTTGCCCTAGCGGTGCGAGGTGATAAAAGGACGTGGGAAGGGTTAGTCGTGGAGATAACAGAGTTATTAGGAGGTGTAGGAAGGATTTGAAAGCGACCAACTTGGTCTTGTGTGCAGCTAAGAGTATGAGGGCTAGTATCACTTCCCGGCTGCCCACACCGTGGAAGGGTATTTCTTGAGGGACCTGAAAAAGAAGTTGGATTAGTGTTGGTCTTAACGACCTGGGTGCGTGACCGCAGTGCCCAAGGGACATCTGCTTGAGGCCGGTCACGCACGGCCTTTTTGTGGGGGTTTTTTGACGTGTTAGCTCCGTTCTTCAAAAGTCCTTACCGCCGGAGACGGAAATCCGTGGGATAAGGCGAGGTGTGCATTTTTAGGGTCGACCTTTTCTAACCCCACCCCTCCTTGTGGGAAGGCAGCATCGCTGTCATGCTGGTTGTCTGAAGGAAACACCTTACTGCTTTCACACCTCTGTACAGTCAGCAGTACGACTTCGCCTTCGGACCTTGGGATTGCTGCTTTTAGTCTCACCGCTCTTCAATCGACCTGTCTGGCATGGTAGGACCTTGAGGAACGATTGTTCCAGCCAGCATAGCTCGATTGGATCATCACGATAGGCAAGCCCGACCACCACGTCAAGGTAGCAGCAACGGTCAGTTTAGAATAACAGCGGACATTTAATAATTATCACCCATATCCAAAATAATTGTACTTTAATTACCCAATTAGTGATTGATTAGCTTCAAAAGCTTAGTTTCCATTATGATAGACTGTTATTGTGTTATTGATTCGGTTTAGGCACCCGGGCAGTATTCCAGCCTTCACATAAATCAAATGATTTATGTGGCGCATATGTATTTGATGCCCCCCATGTACCAATGTTTATGTTTTTAAATATAAATAATAAAAATTGACCTCAAACCATATGATTCATTGACCCGATCTTCATTGATTAATTTATTCTGTCTATGTGGATAGATTTATTGATTTCAGATTGACCTAAGAGGCACTTCTTAATAATGGACTAACCACTATGTTCTAAAGCTCCCTCGATCCAAACTTATCATAATGTTCTCATATGTTGTTCCGCTTAACTGAAAACAAATGATCACTAACTAAGTCATCAAATTAAACTAATCTATCAAGGTTGAGATTAACCACAACATTTTCAATATCTATATTGTACCCAGCATATCTGATCCTATTTCCGTTCATTTGTTGAATGAGTGTTGCACGATAATGTGCAGTTATCATCGGAGGTTTTATTTCTAGGCATAACTTCCATTATACTTTTATTCAACACTTGAGACTGTTACACTAATCTGTTCAAAACATACTGAAAACTCTCATATGTTTGTAATAGGCAGTTATGGATAACTTCAAGCACTCAACAGAGTATCAGTATCTCCTTTTTTTGTAGTCGTAATTGCTTAATCGTGTTTTATTGGTTAAAATACATTACTATCAACTAAGTGATCGAGGTATTGTTTGTTTGAATCTTCCCATCGATTATTTAGGACTACAACTGGTCAGTCTCTAATTGGCATATGTGCATATTGTGCGTATTGCCTCGATATAGCATTAATTCACAAGCATGGTAAACAGAGATGGAAGCGAGGGTACTGGGTTCGAGTCCCAGGGTGAACATCATCCAGCTGACGAGCCCCAAATAGGATGAAACGCGTGTCCTGGATTCCACTGCTAGCTACTATCCATCTCTGCTTACCATAAGTGATCGAGGATTTAAAATCAGGAAGTACCCACTTCTGTTTAGACTACCGATTCCGCTTTCAACACAGAGTGTTTAACATTGAATGTTTTGCCCACCTATCTCCCAACCATTGAATTTTTGTTTGGAATCCCCACTTTACTTACTTCTGGAACTTCTCCAGTCTGACAGTATATTTAGTCCTAATATGTCCTTTTAATAATATCAATAGTGCAAATGTACAACTGTCATTTGATAATGATTGTGTAATTTTGGTTAACTGATTCATAGTCTATCAACTGGGTTAATCCATTTCGCTAAGTTGATTGAGTGATCTGACCTTAATCGCTACCGTGACACAGTGGTCGGACTTGTCTATCATGGTAGTCTGGTCGGATTATATTGTCTGTAACGCTTGCTTCACTAGTTTTTTTCATGCTAGTCTGGTCAGCTGGAGAGAGTAGTATGACTAACCACAGCAACCTAATATCCGAGGGTGTATTTGTATTATCAACTGTATCGAAGTTTAACGTCGACAAGGTGTTCACGTCAGACAGCCAATATCTCCAGCGATGTTACTTTCTCACAATAGAAGGGACTGCCTAGAAACGGGTTACCCTTAATAATACCACAACACTCCGCCTCAGTATATGCAGTCGCCGGTGATAAGTCCTTTTAAGTTTGTAGCTTACACTCTTGATACTACTGATAAGAAGTCCTTGTGTGATTGACCGTATTCTATCGCACTTCAAAAACTTCAGTGACAATATCAGATCATCGAGACCGTTCCTTACCCAGTTTCTTTTTCAGAGCCTTCAGTAAGAAATATCCTATCACAGTGTGAGTAATAAGGCCTTGAGAAACGTCCTTAAAGCTCAAACAGTAATCGAAGTAGCAATTAATTTTAGTTAGGGCTAGGATTATCTTGGAGTTACTTCTAATGCCTTCAGAAAAGCCTAGTATTACACTGAGCGTTCAAGATTAAGTCGTCCCGAAATAAGTATATATTTTTGCATAATTACTTGTCATGTTCCAAAAAAGGTCAAGCACTACACTTGTTGTACAATATTTTCATAATTTTTAAGTGTGAATAGTAAAGTTGTCTCTTAGACGGAATATGATTAAGCCTAAATAACCGGTGAATAAACGATAAGGCGTTTGTGATTAGCACTAGAATACATAACGCTCATTTCGTCCTATTCGGGACCCGTCAGCTGGATGTGTGTGTGGTCCGTGATACTGCCCAGGTGCCCAGATCTAAGCAGGTGGTTTTCTTAGGAGGCTACACCCGGAGCCTTCGATCTATAGGTCTAATCCACAAGACAGTGGAACAACGTCAGTAAATGTAGTCCCATGATAGCCATTTATTTCTTTAGGATCCTGGAGTCCATGTGCACCATTGGTTTGGAGTCAGAGTTTTCCAAACCCTTAGGTTGATCCTTCATATTCATCAACCTTGTTAAAGCACCGTTTACTCTCTTTTCGTTCTTTCGATTTCGTAAACAAGACCCGTACTGGGAGTGGGCAGTGAGTAAAACTTCTCTGACAGTGGCTGCATACGCATGGCCGTGTGAGAGCATTCCGAGGGGGGGGATCTGACTCTCTTCACCCTCGGTAGTATCAGTGCAGTTTGGAGCGAATAAAAGATTAGACATTTGTGACTAACACTAGTATCTAGAACGCTCATTTCGTCCTATTCAGGACTCGTCAGCTGGATGTACTTGCATTTCAATGTTATTGGTGCTCAGATTACTACTCGAACTCATTATTCTTCACTTCAAGCAAAAAAGTGGCGGGTACAGCACACTTAACGAACATGAAAAACAGGCAAAAATCTCAGCCAAAATACGCTGTTGTTGATATTTAAGACTGACTTGTGATCAGTCTTCGCTAACATATGTGGATGCTCTACCTGAAAGCACTGAACGAGACTGATAGATCCTGGATTCGAATCGCGCGAGGAGAGATTGTGGATGCGCACTGCTGAGGAGTCCTACAATAGAACGAAACAGCCATCCAGTGCTTCCAGGTTTTCCCTGGTGCTCTAACTTCAATTGACTCATGAATTCAACTAATATTTAAACAAATGATGTCGATTTATCTCAGAAAATTGTCATTCACTTAAGTATTATATTGAATTATCTGTTTGAAAAGTAAGCATTTAAATGAGAAATGATGTTGTTTAAGTATTTGTTTTGTATTAATGATATTATTTCGTCTGTTACCATTTTTATTTTAAAGCAGGTCTCCAAAACGTGATATTCGACGTTTATCACAAAATGTAGGAACAAATCAACAACAAACTGGTCTGTTCGGAAACGCTCTAATGAATGTATTCAACAGTCAATCTAGTAAGTGAACTATCTTTCTTACGACAAAATATTTAATTCACAAACATTACAGTATCCATCTTAAAAACCAGATGAATTCAAATGTTTTTAGTGATGTGGCCTGGGTAGTTGGGACTTCACAGAAATTCATTTGGACAATAAAAAAAGTAACTCATGTTGAATGAACGAACGGAAAAAGAAACCAGGACTAGTATTCGTGGTCTAGTTGACCAGTTAACATGATTGTGGATCTCAAGGCGCAAGTTCTTGTGCCAGTAATTTTCACGTTATAATAGCTTTTCACCTGTATAACCATACTCCCTGGACAGACATGTGACTATTGTACAGTTTTGCTCGTCTAATAACAACCGATCCTAAATATTCTCAGTATGATGTTTTGTAGAGTTTGTTGAATTTTATTTAAATCATGAATCAATCTAAGTTGAACCACTTTTAGAAACGTGGATTAACTAGACACTGGTTTGAAGATCTCTGCAATGTTTCCTTATCTGCTCTCTAAAGAGACAGGATGTACAATCTTAAAGTAAGGCAGTGGTTGGAAGTGATCGATAAGAACCTTTGGATCTGGGTTTCGCGCTGTTTGGCACCCCCTAGTAAGGTATGCATGTAATCGCGGGAGAACGTATCCTTGCAGTCAGACGTTACGACTGTGCTATTCAGGGTTTGATTTACCTGTACGGCTGAGATGCTTTGTTCTTGACTGATCCTTAGGTGAGTAATGACTCGTGTCATATACATCAAGTATTTCCTAATGCTGATAGTATTCTATCAATCAAATGCTAATATTACAAGTACACGTTTTATTTATTCATTTAAACACAAATATTGGTACAAAGGGGCACCAGATATATATGCGCCACACAAATCTCATTTGATTTGTGTGAGAGCTGTGATACTGCCCAAGTGCCCAGTCCAAAAGAAATGGTTTTCTTAGGGGGCCACACCCTGAGCCTTTGGCCTAATGGACTGATCCATAAGACAGTGGAGCATCGTGAGGATATGCATTCCCATGGTAGCCGGTGACCAACAATTGATTCATACTCCATTTGTTCCCTCAGGATACTGGAGTCAGCCCATGTGCACCATTGGTTTGGAATGAGGGTTTTTCAACTTCCCTAGGTTGACTTTCCATGTCCACCAACCCGGTTATAGCGCCAGATATTTGCTTTTCGTCCTCTCAATTTCGTAAACAACACCTGTGGTGCGAGAAGGCAATGAGTAGGACTTTTGTGGCAGAGGCAATATACACGTGGCTATGTGAAAGCATTTGGAGAGGTAGAGCGGACTCTTCCCACTGTCGGCCGTACCACGGCATTTGGGGGCCAAGTACACGTTGCTGACGACTGACAAATAACACGAAACCTAAATGTTACAATTTTGTCTGTCGACTACCTTGAGCTTACCACCCTACAGTTTAATACAGTACACACGATTTCGATTCGTGTAAACTAGTACTGATCACATTGCAACTTAATCGATAGATTATAATCAACACTACAAAAGATTTAATATAAAGGACATTAGTCACCACTCAGTAATCAGATAGTTGTGAAGTCAAAAATATCTTTACCTATCATTGTTTACTTTGAATGAAAGTATATTATGTCTCATAGTTTGTACTATTCTGAATTGTGTGCTTATATATATAACTTTGAATGAATGCACTTTTATTGCATATGTATGTTTGTAACTTTGTTTAATTATCTGTGAAAAAAGGTAAGAAACCATATGGTTTAACTTGCAAATCAATTATTTCATTCTCTAAAGTTATAAATATAGTATGTTACTATTCATGTATCTAAGGAGTGTGATTCATAGAGAGTGATACATAACAACTGATAAGATAGATAGATGACTTGTTAATCTAGGGGGTTGCGATAGTAGTTGCTTAGGTAGTACCAAAGGGGATCAGGTGCTCGGTAGCGTCTCACCGCTCTAATGATGGAGTCATGAAAAACAGTGTCGAAGCCTCGCAAGATATCGAGCAGTGCGATGGATGAATGCCACCTATCCCACGGGAACGGTCTCAGTTTGCCTTCCTACACCTAGATGGATGCTTCGAAGCAGTCAATCTCCTCCACTCATTCATTCAGCACGTCCACACTCACCATGTGAGAGCATCCACTGGTTGCTTCAACAACACCGAATGTCACCCAACATTTAGAGTGAAACAAGAAGATCCTCTATTCCCACTCCTTTTCATCATGGTCCTCGATGAAGTTCTCGAAGGTCTAGATCCAATGATCCACTTACAAGTTGACAGGGAGAAGTTAAACTACATCACCTAGGCTGATGACCTTGTCGTCTTCGCTCCAAACGCAGAATTTTTAGAACAAAAAATTAAATCTCTTTACTTCTGTACGAAGCAGGATAGTCAGTAAATCCTGAGAAGAGCCGAATCTTTGACCTGATCTCTGGGCGCCACAGCAAAATTACCACACTTTCTCAGACAGAGTTAACCATCGTGGGAATGCCTATCCCACCGTATACGTGATGCAGACTGCACCTCGATCCGTCGTTGGACCATTTTATTGTATTCGCATAGGTGTCGATGACGGATATGCTGGGATAAGCCTCTGTAAGATGAAAAAGCGGCTGCACAGAGAACACATAACATCTATTGAACACCAAACTGTATAGGAAAAGGAGGACAAAATACGTGGCAGACGGCAGTGACACGTGAAAGAAGGGCCTCGTGGGTGATGAAAACGGTAAAGCATATGAAGCAGGTGAAAGAAGAATCAACACAGGCGTGATTGGATGAGATAGTAAAAGAGATAGAAGTAGTTAACATATAGGATATGTCAGTCTTTGCACTGGTTGAGACGGGCAACTTTGTTAGTTTATGTTGACACAACTGACAGGCAAGAGAGTCCGTAATTCTGGAGCCACTAGAAGATGAGGACGAATTTAAAGAATAAATTTGACGTCACGGACCGTTCATAGGCTCTCTCCGTGACTAGTTATAAAGTGACAAGCAGTAGTGGAAGCACAACGTGGACAAAGAAATAGGTTTGTGATCATACCGAAAAATGGAACAAAATGGAACCATGAGAGCAGAAACGAGGTCATGTATATCAATAATGTCTATGATAGGAAAGCACTTGATCTATGTCGAGTACATCAACAAAATAGGAGTCAACAAGAAAAGTACAATACGTAGAATGAGAATGATTGAATAATGGACATATAAAAGGTGAGGAACATGGAAGAAAAAGACAAGAGCGTGGACGAAAGTAGCCGCAAATGATGTATGTGAAACGCGTCATTAACAATAATCTAAAAACGCAACGATGCAGTGTAATACAAAAGACTTTGATAATACGACATACCGCCAAATGCAAAATAGCTTAAGAAATTTCCGCTTATTATAAGTTACAAAATGCAAGGGTATAACCACGTAAAAGATGGAAAATGAATAATGGAATACTGGAATAATAATTTTAAATATCCAAAGATAATAGGTAAAGGCACATGGAGTTACTAAGATCAGTGAAAAACTGTGTTTTTGGGGTTTCCAAATTCAGGGGAGTTGCTTAGTTTGAATTGAGTTATAAACATGTGATGTGTATGATAAGATATGCTCATGTATACGGTTGCACAATGCTTTTAAGAATAATATGATGATAATTAACAAGGTGAATATGCGACTACTGAAGAAAGATGATTGAAATGGTCTGTCCGAAGGTTCTAATATGTGGGTGTGGCATGGCTTCCAACACTACATTTCACTCATTCTGTTGTCTTATTCACTGGAGATTTTCTAGTAAACTACATGTATATGAATATGTGTTTTATTTCATTTTTTTTTAGACGATGGACAACTTTTCGGAAATTTGGACTCATCCAAACTCTCTGTTTCATCAATCCGTCGTAATCAAAAAGATCGGTTTACTAATATTCTCAATGAACAAACTAATCGATCTAATCGGTATTATACTAACACTAGTACTACTACTACTACTACTGCCATCAACGAAGAGTTGGTTACAAATCAACATGTAATCGGTATAAAACACTTGCCAGAAACAACACCACAATTAGATTTATCTCAATGTAATGTATATATACGTGGTTTATCACGTCCTGAAGTTGTATCTCAATCGAATACTCGTCATCCGCTGGGTATAATCACTACATCCACCAATAACCCGCCTATGTTATCATCATCAACAACACTTGGAATGACTAATTTACATTCTAATCAAACTCATCATTTACCAGCATCAATGAATATGAATATTTTATCTAATACTATTAATACTACTACTACTACTACTACTATGACAACTCCAATTTCATCATCTACAACAGCTGTACGTGATATAAGTTATCGTAATAAAATAACAAATGAATTAAATAATTTAATTAATCCATCTGTTTATAATAATTCAGTAGTATCATCATCATCATCATTACCACAACTTTCAACACAATTTATGTTTAATGTTATTACTGAAATGATTGTTAATGGTGTACGTAGACAAGTGGCTAAAGTAACAAGGTGAGTAAATTTTATGTATTGGATTGAATTATGAATGCATTTTTGTTGTTGTTGTTGTCTTGATAAAAAGAAAACATTTTCCTATTGAAGTTTGTAGTTGTTAGTCTATGACATTTATGTATTTAAAGGGATAATTAAACTATTGCCCCCCAAATGCCCTGGTACGGTGATGATAATCAGGTGCGCCCAGAGCCTTTCTAGAGTTACTGTCGGTCACAAGACTGGATAAATGAAATAGATTGGGCATGAAGTTAACAACCCCATCTCATGGTAAAACATCGTTTCTAAAAAAGCGCTAACCAAAAAAAAAGCCACTTAAACTATTTGAACTCTGCCCTATGAGTTGAAGGATACTTGATTCATAGTAATTTTGACGTCTCATGATGAATGCCGAGATTCTTCGGAAATCACGAGACTAAAGGCCCTTTTTAACAACCAGAGTAAAAATTAACCTGATACTATACTTTTGGAATAATTATTTATTTATTTATTTAAACACATAATTATTGGTACAAGGAAGCACCAGATAAATATGCGCCTCACAAATCTCATTTGATTTGTGTGAGGGCTGTGATACTGCCCAAGTGCCCAAACTGAAACAGATGGTTTTCTTAGGGGGCCACACCCTGAGCCTTTGACCTGAAGGTCTAGTCCACAAGGCAGTAGAGCATCGTGGGGAGATGTAGTCCCATGGTAGCCGGTGACCAAAAATATGTTTATACGCCATTCGTTCCATCAGGATCCTGGAGCCCATGTACACCGTTGGTTTGGAATCAGGGTTTTCTAACTCCCCTAGGTTGACTCGCCGTATCCACCAACCCGGTTAAAGCGCCAGACATTCGCTTTTCGTCCTCTCACTTTCGTGAACAACACCCTCGCCACGAGAAGTCAGTGAGTAGGACTTCCCTGGCAGAGGCTTTATATTCGCGTGGCCATGTGATAGCATTTGGAGAGGTAGAGCGGACTTTCCCCACTCTCGGCTGTACCAGGGCATTTGAGGGCTTTGGAATAATTAAATAATTAGATAGCTCATTTCTAAATGAAGTAAATAATTGTAATGTTATTCAAAACAAATAATGAATGAACAGTCTTCAGTACTTATCAGTCCTGCTATCTACCTAGCCTAGCCAGTAAAGTCCAAAACACCAATGACATCCTCTGCAAGATGAATCATTATTCTCAAACATACTGGGTTTATATACCGAACAAACAGACCACATCGTACCATAAAATAGAAAATAACATTTGTAAAAGATTCAGTCAAATGTGGCTGTGAATAGGGGGAACAGTAATTAATAGACTGGGTATAACTCAAGAATGGTAAATCGTATAATGATAGTTCATAGGTCAAAATAAAGCTTATAATAAGAGGGAGGCTATGTACGCATGGTTATGTGACATCATTTCGGGAAAAAGAGCGGACTCAACCAACGAGTGCCCCCAAATGCTCTGGTACGGCCGAGAGTGGTAAGAGTCTGCCCTCCCTCTCGAAATGTTCTCATATGGCCACGCGAATATAAAGCCTTTGCCAGGGAAGTCCTACTCATTGCCTTCTCGCACCACGGGTATTGTTTACGAAATTCAGAGGACGAAAAGCGAATGTCCGGCGCTTTAACCGGGTTGGCGAACATGGAGGGTCCACCTAGGGGAGTCGGAAAACCCTGATTCCAAACCAATGGTGTACATGGGCTCCAGGATCCTGATGGAACAAATGGAATATGAATCAATTGTTGGTCACCGGCTACCATGGGACTACATCTCCCCACGATGCTCCACTGCCTAGTGGATCAGACCTTTAGGTCAAAGGCTCCAGGTGTGGCCCCCTAAGAAAACCACCTGCTTCAGTCTGGGCACCTGTGCAGTATCGCAGCCCTCACACAAATCAAATGAGATTTGTGTGGCGCATATTTATCTGGTGCTTCCTTGTACCAATAATTATGTGTTTAAATAAATAAATACTGTCGGCTGTACCAGGGCATTTGGTGGAACTACCATTGAATTAACTACTTCTATGGATTCGGTGTTCATGTTGTTGTGATAATGAGATGTGGCGACTTGAAAAGATGTATATATATGTCTGGTTCTGACTGATTTTCTATGTGTATCTATCCTCAATTACTGATGCAAAACGTTATTTTCAACCGTTTGTTTTTTTTGTCTTTGTCATTCATTTAAGTCTATAAACAATCATCTCTACGTGATCTCATTTTTTTCTTTTTTTCTTCTTTTTTTTTGATAGAAAATATTCTGAATTTTATGTACTAGAACAAAAATTAATTGAATTTCATGGTTCATTAATAATAAAACAATTGCCAAAACGTCAATTAATACCACGTACAATGGAATTTCTTGAAAGTAAATGTGATGCTTTTCAAAGTTATTTACAGGTAAATATTTTTTAAAAAAAAAGTTTTTATTATTATTTTCAACTTATACTTACTTACTGATATACTCCTGTTACTCCTCGTAGAGGAGCATAGGCCGCCCCCCGACTGCATTCTCAATCAAACCCTATCCTGGGCAATCTTTTCCAGTTAACATTCATCCTTTTCATCTCTGCTTCTATTTCCCGGCGTAATTGTTTTTTTGACCTTCCTCTTTTCCGTTTCCCTTCCGGATTCCAAGTTAGGGTTTGCCTCGTGATTTCCGAAATGTATTTTCTATCCACTTCCAACGTCCTTTCCTAATTTCCTCTTCAACTAGAAGCTGGTTTGTTCTCTTCCATAAAACGCTGTTGCTGATGGTATCCGGTCAGTGAATGTTGAGTATTTTACGTAGACAACTTTCTATAAATACTTGCTATTAATTACAAAAAAACATTTTTGTTTGTTTCAATCTGTCTATCATATAAAACATAATCTGACATATATGTTCATTAGTTCAACTTGTCATTACTCACATGAATACAATAAGATACATTTCAGAGTAGTAGAAGTAAAAGAAGAAAAATTAACAACTGAACAACTTTGAGCCACCTTATTCAAATTCTTTAACAATAGTCATATAGATTCCAATCAAGTAATGTATATCTTTTAACGTGATTTAGTCCTTTTGTCAATGTCTTCATAGACTGGTGCTACGTTTTTGTTTATCTGCCTCTACCATTCTGTCAATTTATTCCTATACCAGAAAACATTCTCCGTTGAGATATTCGGTGGTTGAGCATATATAATACATATCTCAACCACTTTAGTTGATGAAGACTCATCATCCCATCAATCGACTTACCACATTTATTTAATACCTTAGCATTGCTTGTTCGTTGTTCTAAAAATTTGTTAGCGATGCGTAGGATACACCTATTAACGAATACTAGTAACCGACAAATATTCTCTATTTTTAAAAAAATACGTTTCATACTGGTAAAGTAGTATGCAGAAAACTGCTGCTTAATATACTCATCTTATAGATTGAGACATTATCTCGCTTACGCTACGAATGATTGAAGTTGATAAAAGCCTCTTAAGCTTTTATTTCTCACAAGATTTTAGATATGAACCCGGTAGTGCTAATGAGATTTTCAAGATGAGTGAATTGAGTGACGCGCTCAACTGTTTCACTCCCTATCAATAATTCAGGTGCTGATCTTGTGAAGTCCTCAAGTAACATCTTGCCTTTAAAAAGAGGGAACCTCATCTCATACATGTTGACCTTGTTGATTACTATAGTCAGAAGACTATGCATTTTGTCAGGGTCTTCGTCAAACAGAACTATATCATTTGCGTATTCTGAGTTAATAATTGAATCTTGCTGTAGACGATCAACCATTGAGAAGCCGAACGATGAAATTTCTATCTCTTAAAGAACTTCTGCTGCTAAGCTAAATAAAAATGAAAAAAAAGGTGAGTAGCCCTGATGAACACTACTTAAAGTTGACAATTTCGATGACAGTTCGCCATAGGTTGTAATTTGAGTAGAGATCGTTAAAGGGTTTGATTTTTTATTTGGACTGATAAACCTTAACTCATCGGGGCACCAAGTACATATACGCTGCGAAATAACAGTGACTTTTTGAAGAGACGGTCAGTGTAAAATGCTCATATAATAATAATAACAATAATGATCATGGGCGAAAAATTTCAGTTAGTGTAAATACAACCAGAAAGAATTTTTTAGTAAAGGAACTTACGTTTACTTTTATGAAGAAACCGAAAAAAAGTTACAGCAGGATCGCCCCTGTTTTTTTGAATAATTTCCCAGAACCTCTCTAGTCATTTGGTTGCACTATTTCTTGGACCCTAACCAGGGAGTCGTGAAAAATAGCTAAAAGCCAGTACCATATAACTTTTTTCCATGCCACGACACCTTGTCATACACTGACCCTCTCCACTTTCCCTAACCAGTTCGTGTCGGCAAATGATGCGCGACGTGGAATTCTCTGAGACAACTTTCGTAGAACATGTCCTAGCCACTGGAGTCGATGTTTCAAGATGGTGACGTCAATTAGATTATCGTCACTGGATGTCACCAATCATTCGGAGACAGCGATGATCAAGCACAGATAGTTGTCTAACATGCTCAACTCAGAGAGGCCATGTTTCACAGGCATTGAGCAAAACTGCTTTCACTGACGCGTTGTAGATCTGACTTTTCACAGCCAGACTAACATCACGAATATGGTAAAGATGACTCAGATCGACGTAAGCCGCTCTGGCTTTCATTATACGTGCATCGATCTCATCACTCACGCCACCACCAGCACTTACTCAGCGACCCGGATACACAAACAGGTTAATCATTTCTCTTGGTGTGAAGATATTGTAATTCCTTGGCGTTATTATATCCAAAATTTAACTAAGTTATCGAAATAATGTAGTAGAAATGATAAAAAGCGTGGTCTAATAGCTGAAATATGGTTTGAAAAAGACTTAGTGGAAAAGTATGACTTATGGAGAGATCAGGTTATCTAGTTGATTTTGTTATCACATGTTACATTTCTTTGTAATGGATAACTTTGACGACATTTTCGTAGTTTATTTTTCCACAAAAATATTTATTGAGACCTGACTAGTTGTCATTACGCTTAATTCAACAACTAATTTTTATATGCTTCAAGGCTATTGAGTGTTACTGTAAAATCAGAATTGTACTTTTCCAATTCTTTTGACTCCTATACAGAATACAAAATTATCCTCTCGTCTGTTTTATATTGGCGATATAGATTGATAACTTTGAAGTGTGGTATGGTGTTCGACTGACCTATAATTCATTCAAGTTCTTTTTTTCATTTTAACGTATCAGATGAATCCTCTTCCGTTTATAAGTAAAGACTGAATTTTTAGCGTAAACTCTCAATCAAACTGACCATGAACAAACAAGATAATTCCCTATTAGAATGAACTTTTCATTTAATAAACTATAATACTTGTTTACACCTGTTGACCCACGTGGAGGAGGATAGGCCGCCTACCAGCATTCTCCATCGAACTCTGTACTGCGTAATCCTTCACAGATTTTTTTTCACTTGCTATTCATTTTTTCGATGTCTGCTTCCAAATCCCCGACTTAGTGTGTTCTTCAGACTTCCTCTTATCTGTTTTCCTTCAGGAATTCCAAGTTAGCATTGCCTCGTGATGCAATTTGTTGATTTCCTCTATTAATGCCCCATCCCTTCAACTCTCAGGTTGAAATTTAAATGGTTTAAATTGTTTGTACTGGTTAGTGCTTTTTTGGCAATTTTTTTCCAACGGTGTACAGTTGGTAACCGCATTCTCAACACACCTCCTTTATTCGAGCTTGGGATCGACAATAATCCTAGAAGAGCTACAGGTGGAGTTAATATACTAACATAATTACGTATAAATTACAAATAAACTTAATTAAATGTTGTAGAGATAATGGAAGAAGATCAATTTTCTTAGAACTGAGTAATAATGCCAGAATATTTGGGATGCGTTTCTCCCCATCTAAATGTAAATTTGTTACTCCAGGACTAGCCTGCGTCAACACGTGAACTAAGGATAGGGAGTGAAGTCGTCGAACGCTTCGACAACTTCATTTATCTTGGAAGTCTGATCAGCCCTAATGGGTTGGTGTCTGACGAAATCTCAGCACGGATTCAAAAAGCTCGTTTGGCTTTTGCCAACTTACGTCACCTATGGCGAAGGTGAGATATCCGTCTATCAATTAAGGGACGAGTATTCTGCTCATCAGTCCGTTCTGTTTTACTTTACGGCTGTGAAACTATGTCTTTTATATACTATCACCATTAAATTAACTACTTCTATGAATCCGGTGTTCATTTTGTTGTGCAAACGAGATATAGCAACTTGGACCGATGCATAAATGTACATTGTCCTACGTTGTAGCTGACTGACTGACTGACTAATTTTTACTGTATCTAATTAAGACTTCATTCGTTATATTAGATATATTGCCTGCCTAATATGAAAATTTATATATGACTATTATTTGAATTGTAAGTGTTCTAATTCATTATGACAAGTTCATGATTGTTAAAATGAAATTTTTTTAAATAAATGTTTCTATGGTAGTGATTAAGAGGAGAAGGGTGTGTATGTGTGTGTGTGTGAGTGAAGGAAAAACAAACGGAATCGAATCTTAAACTATATATACGTATATGACCTTAGAGTATAATTCATTCTTTTGTTTGGATATTTATTTATAGATTACCTTATCCTTTCTCCCTGTTTTCTCCCTCTCTCTCATTTATCTTTCCCTACTCATTGTTCTATTCGGTCATATTCTTCTTTGTCCTTGTCCTTTTTCAATTTAATAAATATTTATTGTTTATTAACATGATAATAATAATTGTGATTTTTTGTGTGTGTGGATTTCCAAATGTTCTCCTTATAATTGAGATTATTTGTTTCTAGGCATTTCAAACCTCATCTTACCCCTTCCATCCACCCCCACCTTACCTAATTAATCTCTTTTTGTGCATTGTATCTATGTTTGAGAAAAATGAAATTTGAATAGTTTTGATATTGTTGAAAAGGACTTTTCAAAACCTAAATCTAGTCAATAATAGTCAAGAGGTATTTCTACTCGATTCAGGTTGTGTATTAATTAACACTGGTCAACAAGTTTTCCATTTAATCTTGGATGAATTGATGCTTTGTATATATATGTGTGTGTCCGATTCGAACTTGTATCAACTATGATTAAACAGTATTGAGATGATATCACTAAGGTATTCAGTTATGCAGGATTTTTTTTCTTAGGCTTATCACTCTCAAGGGACCATAGGCCGCCGACCAGAATTTTCCAACCCTCTCTGTCCTACGCCTGCCTTTCCAGTTCTATCCAGTTTTTGTTCATTCTTCTCTTATCTATTTCCATTTCTATGCGTAATGTGTTCTTTGGTCTTCCTCTTCTCTTTTGGCCTTCATGACTCCATGTGAGGGCTTGTCTTGTGACGCGATTGGGTGATTTCCTCAAAGTGTGCCCAATCCATTTCCAGCGCTTCTTCCCGATTTCTTCCTCTGCTGGAATCTGGTTTGTTCTCTCCCACAGTAACTTGTTGCTGATAGTGTCTGGCCAACGGATCCAAAGTATCTTTCGTAGACAACTGTTAACAAACGCTTGTATCTTCTGGATGATGGCTTTCGTAGTTCTCCACGTCTCCGCACTATACAGTAGAACTGTCTTGACATTTGTATTGAAAATTCTGATCTTGGTGTTGGTTGACAGACAGTTGTTTTGAGTTGCACATATTCTTCAGTTGTAAATATGCTGCTCTTGCTTTGCCGATCCTCGCCCTCACATCTGCATCAGATCCACCGCATTCATCGATAATGCTGCCCAGATATGTAGAGGTTTTCACATTCTCCAAAGCTTCTCCATCAAGTGTAATTCGATGAGTGCATACTGTGTTGTCTAGCTGTGTGTCTAGCTTTTTCCTTTGTTTATATTGAGATGTCGGATACATATGTATATTTGTTTGGTCAATGAATACTAACCAATATCATGTCTTTCTTGTCGTTTGTGCTGATTGAATTTTATTGATGAAGTTTGGAAATCTACTTTTGTTAATATCAATTGATGAACGGAATAATCTCTAAGCTATGCCAGATTTCCATAAAATGTAAATTTTATACATTCGTGTACATTACAACTTGATAGATGTTCCATCATAATTTAAATTTCTTCACTAGTTATGATGTGATAACTCAATGTATGATCTTATTCAGTAAATTTATGTTCTATAACACGTAAGATATCTTATATAGTTGAAATCATGATTCAATTGAAGCTAGACCACCATGGAAAACCTGGATGCACTGGACGACCGTTTCGTTCTATTTTAGGACTCCTCAGCAGTGCGCATCCATGATCCCGCCGTTGGATCCCGGCTCAGTGGTCTATCGGTTAAGTGCTCAGGCGCGAGACTGATAGGTCCTGGGTTGGAATCTCGTGAGACGGGATCGTGGGTGTGCACTGCTGAGGAGTCCCATAATAGGACGAAACGGTCGTCCAGTGCTTCCACATTTTCGATGCTGGTCTAGCTTCAATTGACTCATGATTTCAACTGTGAAAATATTGAAATCTCTATATAACTCCTTCTGATCAATATCTAATTGCTTTTTTTCTTTTTTATCTATATCTCATTTTTTTAGTATTTAATTGCTCAACCGTTTCTTCGGAATAGCAAGCTCTTGTACAGTTTTCTTATGTCAAATGAACCATTCAATACAAATATATTTGAATTGAATTTAGGACGTTTAGTAAAATCGGTTCCGTTAAAATTAACTAAAGAAGTAAGTTGATGACTTTTATATATTGATAATCCGATGTTGACTAACCAAAATCGTATATGAAATCTAATGACTTTCATACAAAACTGAATATGATAACAAGTTACGGGTGATTTCTAGATTTACATTGTCATTGATATTTGAACTGTAAAAAACCAATCCATAGAGAGGAACCTATGAGCGTAATGTTGTTTACTTCTAACAGTAGTTTATTCTCAAGTATCAGGGAATATTCATATGGGTTAATCATGACTTTAAAGCTCTAGATTCTTTTGTAATAGGAACTATTACTCATAACAATTCGGATGGTTGACCAATCAAGTTAAGTAATCATAAAACCATATTTTAGTGACCACGTTAACCGGTTTATCAATCAACTAGAAAAGGGCTTCTTATTACAAAAAAAAACTGATAATCAAAAGCAATGAAATCTTGATGTACAAGTAGTTTCAACACGATGACTAGACGAAGGATGGCCGGGATTTAGGATAACTAGTTCCGTTAGCGTTAGGAGTTTTGGTTAGGATTGTAGTCGAGTATAGTCATCAATATATCCTAATTCGCACTCTTCAGGAAAGTGTGCCTGTAATTTTAAGAGAACTGATACTCTCAGACTCATTCTGTTAACACTAGGATGACCATACATAGGTGACATTGGTCACTACTCGGCGATCAATCAGTTCTAAATGGTTAAGATTGTTAGAATTAGGGGTTGGTTTTAGTTATGTTAGGTTTAGGTGTGTTAATAAAAAAACAACATACTTTTCAGTTACAAAGGCGTACATAATTATGTCCTGCATCACATCGTATACACTCAAATACAATTTACACGTATTTCCAGTAATTTAATCCATTAACTATGCCAAATCCACTGTATAGTTGTGCTCACGTTACTTTTAGCACACATATAGCATAGCATAGATGGAATGCAGCTAACACTGAGATCCAGGACGCGCGTTTCGTTCTATACGAGACTTGTCGACTTTATACACTTCCATCCCAGAAATGATGTTCACTAATTGGTGTCAGAATTGATTATATCGAGACAGTTATTTATATAATATACCCTTATGGGCCAGCATAATTTTGTACTGGTTTTTAGGAGAACCAGGCATCGTCCAGACTTTCACGCGGCAACCCAAACAGTACAGCTCAATCCAGACACTATATAGGCTTTAACGCCACAATCCGAACAGTGCAGCTCAATCCTGTGGCGCAACCACACAGCTACCAAGCACCATGGAGGGCCATTCTCACCATTTATATACACATTCACATCATATGTATACTTATTCCGATTAGTGATCTCGTAAATCAATTATGCACAGCATGAACAGGCCAAAGTTCACCCATTCTGCTTGCACGACAGTCAAACCCATTAATGTTAGCAATGGCGACATGCATTACAATGCTCCAGTGACAAAAGCCCTTGAGAACTCTGAAAAGCAACCATTAGTATGAATGAAATTGGTTAGCCAGCAAACCAACTTATCATATGGACAGCCAGCAAAACTCGCCAAAGCAATGCCGAACCATCCATAATTTCAATGGTGAACCTCCAGTTTCACATAAAACCTTCAGCTCTACATAGCCATATGGGTTATACTGCATGCAACACAGATATAGGCTGGTAAGCGAAACTGCCTAGCCTGAAGTGTTAGGGCATAAAGAACGCTTAAAACTCATTGTCTGGTGTCGAAATACTAATACAAGACCACCAAGAGACTATGAGGTTGGAATTCGCGTATGTCAATCAAGACTGATTAGTATTCAATCAAAATATCAATAATCGATTAACTGAATTCATTCCCAATTGAATTATTATTATAGACACGCCTTGTTTGCGTTCCTAATAACATACATGCTGTAGTGAACAGAACACCGTTTGGGGACAATCGAATGTAGTTAGGCGCAAATTACAAACTATCCCACTAAATTTTGTTTGCCATGCATTAAACAATTAATTTGCAAAATAACAATCAATTGTCTCAATCTTGACTGTTCCTTCTGCAAATATCAGTCCGCCTACTCTGATTTCATTTTTCATGCATTTTCATATCAATTGCGCTTCATTCCTGTTCGTTCCTTATCGATCTTCTGCCAAAATACATTCTATGCCTGACCATCACCATATACTACTTATATGGATATAAGTAGACCACACCACAATGCTATTCTCTATTACCTTTTAAATGTTGAACAAAATTTTACAGGCGCTACTTCAATTCGGACTGATTACTGGAAGATTGTCGCTATAATATACTTTTATCGACTGGATTTTAAAAGTTTTTTCCAAAAACACACAATTTACTAAGAGTAGAGTTTCGTATTGTTATGAATGAACACTCAGGGGTGGGGACAACCAGTTTATTGTTCAACACAAAATTACAAAGTTCCTTCGTAAATCTTGAAAATCATACATTAAATACTTCACTGACATCAATTGTCTTTTACAAAATTCATCATTCCTTCATTCTTGTTGTTCTTACAATTAGTCTCTGTTTCCATCATCTTCGATTCGATCTTCCCAACCTTCTGCTGCCGGGCGTTCCACTTCTGACTGCTGTTACATACTACTTATATCTGTCGACATAAGTAGCATATACGATTGTGTATTTTTCTAATTTTCTTAAGAAGTTAAAGTTAACTTCTCTTTGCTTTAATTGTTCAACCCATTCAGTTAAATATGCACCGACTTTCAGTTTATTTGCTTTTTTCATTCAACAAATTTGAATCCACTACAAGGTGGCATGTTGGTAGCAGATATACATTAATAAGTTGTAGAATACTAAGTTGAAATCCTCAGTGAATATCATTTTCTTATTTACAGTGTTGAGCAACTAAACGACTGGAAGAATAATCTAAAATACCGGTGTTTTGTCTGTGATCTGTCTATTCACTTATATGCAGGGAGCATTTGTCTTGACACTACAAACTAACTGGTTTAACCTTGAGACTAGAGACGCATGGGTCCGAATTGAGACTAATTGCCTTGGATAGAGATACGTAAACTATTCGATCAGTTGATTAGTTGTCAATAGAGAGAGAGAAGACGAGTCATCTGGAAATTAGTCGATTTACTCCTGGATCCCGATTCATATTAGTGCAAAAAAATATACATGAATAAATAAATGACTAATATGACCACAACCTACAATAAGTACTTACTTACGCCGGTTACCCCTCATGGAAGAGCATAGGCCGCACACCAGTATTCTTCATCCAACTTTGTACTAGTCAATCCTTTCCAGTTCTTTCCAGTTGCTATTCATCCTTTTCATATCTGCTTCTATTTTCCGACGTAATGTGTTCTTTAGCCTTCCTCTTTTCTGCTTCCCTTCAGGATTCCAAGTAAATGATTGCCTCGTGATGCAGTTTGGTGATTTTCTTAATGTATGTCCCATACACTTCCTAATTTTCTCTTTATTTGGAAGCTGATTTGTCCTCTTTCACAGAAGGCTGTTGGTGATGTTATTCGGTCAATAAATGTTGAGTATTTTGCGTAGACGTACAATAATTGAAAAAACACAATTATATACAAACTAAGCATTAGATTAGAAAAATGGAGTACAAAAGGTTACATTTAAATTAGCTCTGAAACAGTGAATGATACATCAAACGAAAGCTTATGGTTTATAGAATAAAATAGAAACAAAACAAAGTGTTAGTTTTAAATTAAGTTAAATAACGTTCTCCCACCCCCCAAAAGAATAGCTTCTATTGTTTATCATGACTTCTTTGTTTCTCTATTCACACATCCATTTCATTGTAGTTATGACAATTTGTTTGTATGAAAAGTCATAGTGATTACTTAGTATATGAAAGTTTACTAGTTGCTCATGAGAAACTTGGCTTCTTTTCCTTAAAAGAAAGTAAATAATGAACACCTAGTCATGGTTTAATGTGTGTGTGTGTGTGTGTGTGTGTGTAGTTACTGATTCATTTATGTTTTTGAGCCAATTGATTGATTGAATGATAATGTTATGTCATTTGATTAGCAACTATGTATAAGTTAATATTTTTAGTATTTTATCAAATGATTAACTCAAACTGAAGTAATTAAATAGAGAAAATGTGTCGGTCTCAAAGTGTCTTATGTAATCAATAACTTTATCATTTCATTGCAATGACTGATTGAAACAATATGGATAGTTGATCTACTGCAAAGTTTATCGTCTTTCACTGTTGTATCTTTCCTTCTATACAAAATTGAATGGAGTGATTATATATTGGTTTATCTGTGATATCGATTTCAAAAATTTTTAAAAAAATCCTTATAGTGATCCGTAAAACATTTTTCACATAAGGCAAAATTAACATTTTTTCTAGTTTCTGATATTATCTTAATGATGGGGTTTTTGGGTTGCTAGACACTTTTTGGTATAGTTTCCCGGGTAACCATTTTCATAAAGGACAGACAAAAGATGAGTTTGTTTTTACTACTTTTCTGTTGGTAGGAGTTCTGCAGTACAATTTAGCTCTTTGGACTAGTGTCTGTATACAACTCTCCTTGTGTCTTGTTGTATTGTTACTGTTGTAACTAAGTATTTACATCCGTTAACTTAACTTCTTATATATTTCGAGTTTTAATGTGTTTATTCTGTTTATTAACATATCCATGTTTTATTTATTTATTGAAACACGTAAATATTGGTACAAGGAAGCACCAGATAAATATGCGCCGCACAAATCTCATTTGATTGGTGTGAGGGCTGTGATTCTGTCCGAGTGCTCAAACCGAAGCAGGTGGTTTTCTTAGGGGGTCACACCCTGAGCCTTCAACTTAAAGGTCTGATTCACAAAACAATGGAGAATCGTGAGTAGATGCAGTCCCATGGTCACCGGTGACTAACAATTGATTCATATGTCATTTGTTCCCTAAGGATACCGGAACCCATGTACACCATTTGTTTAGAATCAGGGTTTTCTAACTCCTGTAGGTGGATCCTCCGTATCCACCAACCCGGTGAAAGCTCCGGACATTCGCCTTTCGTACTCTCAATTTTGTGAACAACAGTAATGCCACAAGAAGGCAGTGAGTAGGAATTTTGTGGCAGAAGCTATATACGCGTGGTCATGTGATATCATTTGGAGTGGGAGAGCGGACTCTCCCCACTCTCAGCCGTATCAGGGCATTTTGGGGCACATATCCATGAATGTAATTCTGTTTTCTGATCCTTCTTCTTTGTTCTAATCTCATGTTGTTAAATATTTTTCTGATCAATTTTTTTGGTTTCTTTGAATTAATCTCTTCTCAGGATTACAAATGTATCTTCAATATAAGGTTTTTTCAAATCTTTAAGTTGGTTGTTGTTCACACTATATAACCTTCAGTCTTTCCATTAACCCTCTCCCCTGAATTAGAATGAACTAGTTGTTAGGTACTTCTATGTTATTCTTTGAATGGATATAATATTATGAATGAAGCTTCCTTGAATTAAACAGTTCACTACAGAAATCATCTGTCTAATCCATTCTCCTTTAATATTAAATTTCTTATTCTTCAATAGAATCAATGTTTACTGGTTTAATAAACTTTCTTTTCATCTCCTCTCCATCGTTTATACACTTTCACCTTCATTCAATCCTCTTTTAATCTTATTATTCATAATTATCAAGTCAATTCATCTTGTATATGTGTAGAAATATTTTTAAACAAATTTTAGCCTTATTAATAATACCTACTACTATATTTTTGGATATAGATATGACTATGTGTAACTGTTTGGTTGTTTGTCTATTTAGCTGTTTTCTCTTTCTTTCTCTCTCTCTCTCTGTTTTTCATCTTTGTTTATGTCTGCGGATTATTGATTTTTGTTGGTGCCATAGCAACGATAACATCTGTATATATTATTGTAAGATTCATATAATCAGTAGTATATAGTAATAGTAGTAGTAATGTTATACATTAATCTTAGGTTATCATTTACATAGTATATTCATTTGGAATTTCATTTCTCTAATGTTTTTAATAGAATATGTTGACCTTTCATGAGCATCAGTTAAGCTTTTTTTTATTTTACAAAAAAAAATGTTTTTAATTGCGAAATGTATGTCTTTGTTGATCAATACTACTGCTCAGAATATAAGTAGTTAAATAATGTCCACTTAAAGTTGTCATTGTAACGTAAAGACAAGTCAATGAACAATGTTAAATGTTGTACTAAAGATTTCCTTGTGATGATTTAATTCTTTTATAAGTATTTAGATGGGTCCAGACAATCATAGATGATGTTATATATCAGTAGGTCAATGGTTAAGGAATTTGATTTTCAGTCACTATGTCTCGAGTACGAGTCTCTTTTCCTGCCTTCTATATTAATGAATGGGTATTATTACTAGTTCCCGTACAGAGTGTGCTTCACATCTAGTTCCAGTAATCTGTACGTACTATATAGGATAATGCTGATAACATAGACAAGGTAAAACTGGACACGTATATGTTTTAAACTGGTATGACTAGTGGCTTGTATTGGTTTTGCTTCTTTTTCCAATAAGGAAGTTGATAATTAAAGTTTTACTTTCACTAACTTCGATTTGACTAGTCAAACACTATCACAAGCTTTAATCTGGAACATTTAATTCAAAAGGGAATGATATAAATGAATTAAAAGAACAGAAAGTTTTCGATAACTCTAACTAAATCAAGAACTTAGTTACTGAGTTCCATTAGCTATTAGCCTATGAAATATGATGAATTTTCATTCATTTTTGTATTGGTTGTTTCAATGTTCCCATTTGATGTTCAGGACCGCAATTGGCAGTCTGAAAAAGGACAAAACATATGTCTTGTATTCCATTTGCTTGTGACAAGGCAATCCGTTCAGAATTAAAATATGTCAATGCTTACTTACTTACGCCTGTTACTCCCAATGAGCCATAGGCTACCGACCAGCATTCTATAATCCACTCTTTTATCGTCCTTCCTTTCCAGTTCTATCCAATTTTCGTTCATTCTTCTCATGTCTCTGTTCATTTCTCGGTGTAAAGTGTTCTTTGGTCTTTTCCGTTGGACTTGAAGATTCCATGTGAGGGCTTGCCTTGTGACGCAGATGGATGATTTCATCTACTTCCAGCTCGTCTTCCTAATTTTTCCTCCACTGGATGGGATCTGGTTTGTTCTCTCCTACAGTAGGATGTTGATGATATTGTTTGGCCAACGGATCCGTATTATCTTGCGTAGACAACTGTTGATATATACCTGTTTTTTCTAGATGATGGCTTTCGTTGTTTTCCACTTCTCCGCCCCATACAGTAAAACTGTGTTGACATTTGTATTGGAAATTCTGATTTTGGTATTGGTTGACAATTGTTTTAAGTTCCAAATGTTCTTCAATTGTAAATCTACTGTTTTTGCTTTGCCGATCCGCGTCTTCATATCTGCATGAGATCCACCGTGTCCATTGATGATGCTGTCCAGTTATGTAGAAGTTTTCACATCCTCCAAAGCTTCTCCGTTAAGTATAATTCGATTGGTGCATATCGATAAGAGACTGTTTAATCAAAGTCCTAAACATCAATAAGAGAAGAATTAAACAATCAATACAGAACGGAACGTATTCATTCTTTACTGGGGCTTCTTTCTATGACAAACTGATGAACATTAACTTCGTTTGTTATTTTCATTATTATTTATTCATAAGATCTAACTATATATTCATATGTTTCTTCTATTTACATTATGTAAACATCAGCATAAATTATCAATATTGTAGATTGAGAGCATCAATAAATGGTTATATGTGATATATGTAAAACAACTACAATGTGAACAACATGGATATTACTATATGTGTTCATGATAATTATAAATAGATTTTATAGAGTTGAGATCGTGAATCAATTGAAGCTAGACCATGATGGAAAAACTGGAAGCACTAAACGGCCGTTTCGTCCTATTATGGGACTTCTCAGCAGTGCGCATCCACGATCCCGCACTTGCGAGATTCGAACCCAGGACCTACCAGTTTCGAGCCAGAGCCCTTAACCGATAGATAGGTTTTCCATGGTGGTCTAGCTTCAATTGACTCACGATCTCAACTCTATAAAATTACTAAAATCTCCACAAAACCCCTTCTGATATAAATAGATTGATTGGTAAACTTGTTGAATTTAGATGCATCATTGAGTTATTGGTCAGGATTAGTTGAATCATAAGGTTACAGGTAGTGGTCACATGTGAAGTCTCTCTCTATAAATCATAATGTGAACGATTCTTCTTGTACTATATCCTTATCCTTATATATATTGAATATATTGAATTAACTACTTTTATGAATTTCGGTGTTCATGTTGTTGTGCTAATGAGTTATGGCAACTTAAACCGATATACATATGTACCTGGTCATACGTTGTAGCTGACTGACTGACTAAATGCGAATGATAAAAGAGATAGGATATATGTTAACAAACTTGTAGTTCATTTGCTTTTTTCATCCAACAACTTTGGATACACTACGGTGAATTGTTCACAGAAGTCATCTAGATAGCTTTTAAATGATAGGAATAACGTTTTAAGTGAATTTCTTACTCTTATATGTATGTAGTACTGATCTGTTAACTCAACAGATATTAAGTGTTTGAAATCACTATATACTGGAAACGTGTTGAATATTGCCAAAAGGCTATCCTCAATCTCAATGAAATGTTTAGAATAATTAAACTATGCATTATGATATCAGCCTTCTGATGGACGGATTGTTGGGTCTGAGAATTTTGTTTTTAAATTCGACGTATCATATTTGTAACTTTCAGTCTGGACTGTGATTGCCAAATATTAGAAACCATGAAAGAAATTCTGCAGATTTTCTTTCTTGGTTGAGCAAAATTAAGATATCTATCGTGTATGCTACTTATATCGACATAAGTAGTATATTACACTAGTCAAGAATAGAATGTCTCGAAGCAGAAGGTGAAGAAGATGCAGGAGGAAAGAACGCGAAATGGAAGTAATTGGTATGAAAATGCAGGAACATTGAAGTCTGAGACGATTTTACTAACATGTTCTGTCATTTTGTGTTCAAATACATTCTATTGCCCCCATTTATGTTCTTATTCATTACATCTTCATGATAGTAGGCAATCAATTTCTTCAGGATTGATGCATCTCCAAATATTGTTATGTGAAGGTCAACCCCATAAATTCTTAGTTTGTTTCATGAATAGATTTTTAATCGTACATATTATTGTTACTGTCACCTCCTTCTTTATTTAAACAACTAGTTTTCAGCCTTTAGGTCTTTGTTATAACCACCCATTGGATTTAGGTAACTAAATTTAATAACTAACCCTCACACAAACAATCTAGCTCTAACCGAAATTAGATTGTATCCTGTAGTGAACAAGAACACGGGTGGGGCGAATCGAATGTAGTTAGCCACAAAATTACAGAGTATTTCATTGAAATATGAGAGCTATATAGTGAATAGTTAATTTGCAAACTATCCATCAATTGTCTCAATCTTGACCGTTCTTTCTGCAACTGTTAGTCCATCGTCTCCAAATATTATTGTTCGTGTATCTTCATACCAATTGCGTTTTGTTTCTGCTCTGTTGTTATCGATCTTCTATTGAATTACATTCAATGCCCGACCATCATCATATACTACTACTTATGTGTGGATATAAGTAACCCACACCACAACTCGATTCGTTTACAATTAATTTCATCGTGCCTTTTTATAATTCTGTGACAATTTGAATTGAATTGTATTTGACTTACAATTAGTTTTTTCTTAATCGCATTTTACAAGCTGTTTCCCCCCTCCCAATATTTACATCATACTTCTATTTTTAGAAGGGTCAATTCTTAGACAACTTTTTATCAACTTACTTTTTATCATGTCATCCACAACCAATGGAATGTGATAACACTACTACTAGTATTAATGATTTTGAAATGATTAGATCAAAATCTTTATCAATTTATTCTACAACTGAAACTGATGCTTATTCTGCTTCTTATAATTCATTATTAAATACTACTACTAATAATAATCATATAAGTAGTACTAAGAATGTTATTGGCGATACTACTTTTCATTCTTCATCAACCAATATATTACAAGATAGAAATCTTATATATAAATCAATTTCTAATAATTTTCAAATGGATACATATCCAATAGATAAACATATTGATTATTATAGTCGTTATGTGTTAAATTCACCGCAACATAAACATCAAAGTCGTACAAGTTTAGATCATCGTCTACGTTCACGTATTTATTGGAATAATGCAGGATTAACATATGAAAAACAAAAAGATACAATAAATCAGGTAATTCATGTGGGTTTTTTTTCTTTTCTGTTCGGAAAATAAAATGTTTTCATGATTCAGATCATGAATTGATCTTAGTTAGATCACTATTGAAAACCTAGAAGCTCTAAATGGTATTGTATGTAACTCTTAAGAAGTGTATATTTATGAACCCTTATCGAAGTTTGTTCTGTATGGACGAAGGAGATAAGGTGCGTTTGGTGGTGTTGAACTCTCTGAGCTGAGATGATTTAATAGCAGAGCTTTTATCGTCACTTTAGACAACATTCTCAGTATACCTACTTCATTAATAATTCTGTACTTTACGGGTGTTTGTACAGAATAGTCACTAGTTCTCACAAGTTCTCCGTCAAAGGTGAAATTAGTTAATTGTAGTTTAGTTGGTAAAAAAACTAATGCTATTAAAATAGGCGAAGTGGTCTACACGTCTAATACTCCAATTGTATTCATTCGCTAATTAATCTGAATCCCAGTCTTCCTTCATATGTCCCTTTACACTCTGTTATTTTGGATCATATTTTCATTACGTATTTTCTGTGAGTACCATTACTTCGATCTCTTTTTTCCATAGTTCATCTTGTTAAAGTGATGTTGTATGAAAACATGTGCCAACACACATATTTGTGCTAAAATCTGTATTATTAATGACTACCTGACGATAATAGATACCCAAAATGTGAGTTGAATAGAGATTCAACCTTCTGTCAGCTGTTACTTGAAAGCTACAAGTTTTTAGTACTTTACAGATCAATCACTTTATCATAATTACCTTCAAATATACGAAAGCAAATTTGTTTATCAAACTACACTGTAATACCCCCCCCAAAAAAAATATTTGATAACTGACATTATGAGACTAATCAATGTTTGACTGCCATTAAAAACCTGGATACACACTGCTAAGGAGTCCCATACTAGTACGAAACGGCCGTCCATTACTTCCAGGTTTTCAATCGTGGTCCATCATTGATCGGTTTCATGATGTCGATTAAAACTAATAATTATTATATGCTCACTAGTGATCATCTTCGAGAGGGAATTCTCAGAGTTCTAGTTAGAAGCCGTAACCAGTGGAGTTCAATTATGTCGAGTATGAGACAGTTACCCACCGAAGACAATGAAAGATGGTCTCATAATATCGCAGATTGGTTGAAGTTAGCCAATAATACCGTCGGATACCTGCTCAATGGTCTAGAGTTTAAGCATTCATGTTCAAGACCGAAAGTCTTGGGTTCGGGTTATGCGTATGTGATTGTGGATGCGCACTGCTAAGAAGTCTCATACTAGGACAAAACGGTCGTCCAGTACTTCCAGATTTTTAATAGTAGTCTAATATTGATCAGTTCATGATCTCGATTTCAACTCAACAATCTCCTTAACCCTATCTTAATTATAATATAAATTTTAATATTCCATTTCTAGTCATCTCAATTATCAACAGTTCATTTAACAAGTTTATCTGAAATGATTTTATATTTCTTGGAAAAATCTATTACATCATTGTCAACATCATCTCCTTTAAATGAAAAGAAATCCTCCTTAAATTCAACTTATTCTCAATTATCATCCAATGTTGAAATGTTATCATCAGCAGCAGCAGCCACAGAATCATCATCATCATCATCTGTTCAAATGATGAATTCATTACAAGAAATTAATACAGATAATATGACATCATCCATTGATCCTTGGGATATTACTAATCCATGTTGGAATGAAGCATTTTTAAATGGTCCATCCTTATCAAATGTAATCACAGCAACAACAACAACTGCCACTACCAGTACTACTACTACTACTACTGATAATAATAATAGTACTCATTTAGGAAGTCATCAGTTATCATCATCATCATCATCGTCATCATCTGAAACTGCATTAGATCATATCAAATCAACATTCATTACTCATTCAAATCAATCCTCCTCATCATCTACTACTAATACTACTACTAACAATCATCCTTATTCAGTAGTATCTATTAATTTAAATGATTTTTTTCATGCATTCAATGAATTATTATTATTAATTAAAAAACAATGTAAAATATATTTTTATAATTTTTTATATAAAATTATTATTTATTTATTTATTTATTTTAATCAATCAATTAATTATTGGTTAACTAATTATATGATCCATATGATATATCAATTATTCTCCGATGATATGTTATCATATATATTGAATAATATTAAAAGTAAGTTAAACTGCTTCTTGTTGATAGTGTTGTTGTTGTTGTCTGACGAAGCTTCTTCATGGAGTCGAAAGCTCGTTTGACTTTTATGTTAACTTATATCAGTCAATGCCCTGGTATAGTCTAGAGTGTGGGGGAGATTCCGCTCTCACTCGAAATACTCTCACATGGCTACGTGTATATAGCATTTGTCAGGGAAGTCCGACTCACTGCCTTCTTCTGGTGGGAGTGTTATTCACGAAATTGAGAAAACGAAAAGTGAATGTCCGGTGCTTTAACCGGGTCAGTGGACACGGAAAGTTCACCTAGGGGAGTTGGAAAACACTCATTGTAAATCTATGGTGCAAATGGGCTGACTCCAGTATCCTGATGGGACAGATGGCGTATGAATCAATCGCTGGTCACCGGTACCATGGGAATGCATCTCCTGACATTACCTCACTGCCTTATGGATCAGATCTTTAGGTCAAAGGCCCCGAGTGTGGTCCTCTAAGAAAACCACTTGTTTCTGTCTTAGCACCTGGGCAGTATCATAACCCTTACATAAATCATATAAGATTTGTTAGTCGCATATGTATCTGGTTCCTCCTTGTATTAATATTTATCCAAACAAACAATACTAAGTGAATTTAATATTTATGTGTTTAAATTAAATAAAACCATATCATATGATCACGATGAGATCAAATCAATAAGATGTATAGGAAAGGAATCAAAATAATTGTTATAGTTAGTGATCATAAAACTCTACCACTTAACTACTCGATATTTGACTGACGTCCTATAGGGCTGAGATATCTACGGTTCATTGATAATTGAGAACTGGCCTTTATCATATTTATCTAACGGCTTGAATTCGAATAGTTTAATCACTAAGCCACCACTCTTCTTTCGACCAGCTAAGTATACACACATATCACTCATTAGTTAACTACCTATATACAAAAATTCTAGCCTTTAAGTATGTTTAATTAATAGACAATTTTACATTTAACTAAATGGTAACTAAATTTTTTTTATTTACTTACCTCTTCTGTTTTTCTCTTCATCTAGCAAATATATTCTTTCATTCTTCTAAAAAGTAAGTATGTTTACACTTTCTTTTCTAATTAGTGTATTATATAACATCTTAGTCAATTTGTGGTAATGCAACTTTGGCAAAATATGATTATGAACTTGATTTTTCTGGGATTACCTCATCTCTTACATTTTAGTGAATGATTTTGTCTTTTTAAGCAAAGATGGATAGTGGCTAGTAGCGGAATCCAGTTAGACACCCGTTTTGTCCTATTTGGGACTCGTCAGCTGGATATACCTGCATCTCAGTCTTATTGATGTTCACTCTGGGACTCGAACCCAGTATCGTTCGCTTCAAACGCCATCGCATTATTCACTCAACTACAGATTCCTGATAGCCACTTGCTTGTGCAATAGGGTGGAGTTTAAATTCAACTAGTATGGGAAGATTCAAACAAACAATACTAAGTGAATTTAGTTTTGTCTTTTGTTTCAACATTGCTCACGTATTTCAGCGCTATAGTATGAATATGACTATTGACATGTAGATGCATGATATTTGAGGAAGACGGTCAATCAGTTGTTAAGATTGTTTATCTTAATAGAATAATATGGTTAGGACCATCGTTATTAGTGTCAATCGTCTCCATTAATCATCAACCCCTGGCAGGGTCTCATACGCTTATACAAAAACATTTTTTACAATTATGGTTACAGCTTCGTGAAATCGTCTTATTTACTCTTAATTAAATATTTCACAACTGCTAGCATAACAAAAGGTATCCTGTAAAGAATTTCTACAGCTAGGAAGGGTAGTTAATAGATTTATTACTGAACAAAGTTCTTCAAAATTGTCAACTAAGATCACGGTGTGAAGTTAACCCTGTAAAATTCAACCATCTCCACGAAACCTATGATAATAATGATATACTCACTCGTTACTAATTTTAAGAGGTAGTTCCCCTAGTTCTAGTGAGAAACTGTGATCATTTGAGTCCGTCGATGACAACTTTAATGCAGTAACCCACAAATTATGTTACAAGATGATTGCATAATAACTCGAATCGATTAAAGTTGAACATGTAAATCATTAGATGCCGGTTCTACAAGTTAATTGCTCACTGCAATACCTGAAGATTCTAGTTTTGATCCGTAATGGAGTTCTGAATGCTTACTGTCGAAAATTCTCATACGGGAACGAAACAGCTAACCAATGATTCTATAAGGATGACAAACTTAAGAAACGCAGAACGAGCCGAAGACATTCCATCCAATCACCACTAGGGGAACATTCTAGAATGTTGATGTGTAGCTTCCCTATTGGGTGAATAAGAATGAACCCCTATACGCCTATTGGCTGTCCGAAATAATGATTTACTTTCAGTGAGAAACTATAAATACACAAGATTTTTTACTATATTTGACACTGTTTGGAGAATAAAATTCGTACTTACTAGTTTTCTGTCTTCTCTCTTGCGATGTTGCGGTTTCGATCGTTCAAGCAGTTTAGTAGTACGCGGCATAGCAAGAATCTAAAGCTCTGGATATAACAGATTCCCAGTTTTCAATGATTGTTTTAACCACCATCAGTCTATGATATTACTTGCATAACATTTATGTAATATAATTTTTTTTTATCTCTTCATAGAATTGATATGGATAAGTCAGAACGTAAAGAAAAAGCACGTGTTGCAATTGAAAAAGCGATTCAAAGTAAGTATTTACATTATCATGAGTGTTGCATGTAATTGGTAAACACAGTGGAATATTATACAATCGTTTTCATGTCTTTTAGGTTTTGAATGAAGCATAGACCTCGTTCTTTCTTTGATAATGAACTTCGCTGCACAATACGTTTTGTTGATAACTGATTTAAACCTTTGTTTCAATAAAAAGCTATTTGAATCACCTCTAAATGGTAAGGTGATGTAGACAGGTCTTTTTTCCACCTAGGCTACAGTAGGTCTCACTGTGCCATGAACTTTCCATCTATTGATAAATTTGGGTGGATAACTATTCCCCATTAATGTATTGTTTAACAACTTACCATCATCAATAGCGTCATTTGTGCAAATACGATTATGCCTGTTAAATAGACACCTTATCAAACCATGTTTGTATTGCACAGGGCAATAGCTATAGTAACTAAGGTATTGGCCCGTCCATGTCGGTTTTAAAAGAATAATGAATCGTTTGATTGAGCCATCTTCTCGTCTGCTTAGAAGTATATCTAGGAAGGGAAGTTAGTCGTTCTTCTCTTCTTGGCATGAGAGACTGATGTGGTTTTGAATAATGTTAAGTTTATTCAATAAACAGTTCATATCATCCTTCCCATAACCTAGAAACTGCAGTTGTGTTTTAACTGAAATGCGAAAGAAATTGAAAGGATGTACGCTGATACGATGTCCTACCGCCTAAATATCTTTTTCAAAATCCTATTGTAAAACACCATGATAGTCAGGTGGAATGCATTTGTTGTGAGAAGTTACATTATATATAGCCCTCAGTTTTCCATTGGCATCTTTTGATTCGTTCTTCCATCTAAACTGTCTCCATGCTTTCGATGCACTTAAACTTTTTACTCCTTCTGAGTTGTAGCAATTTCGATGTCATTTTCCGATACACATTACTTATAAACAATGTTGTAAGTAGCATCTAATACACTATTAGTTTAGTCGTAGATAAGTTTTTTATCATCATAAATGAAAATCATTGGAATCATCAAAAATCCCATTTATCAGTATTCCAGAACTAAATTCATTTAGCGGATCACCAAAAAGCAAAGACCATTTTATAGGTTTTTCTTCTAGGCTTGGGAATAACTGAATTTAGAAATGTAAACCATTGGATCGTAGCTTAATAGAAGATGACAAACAAATGTCCGGCGCATAAAACACGTTGATGAATGTAGAGGATCCATCTAAAGGATTTGTCAAACCCTCATTCCAAACCACTGATGCACATGGGGTTCCAGGATTCTAAGAAAATCACGTAAACGATTAATCGCTCCTTGTAAAGCCTGATAGCTACTGGATCCAGTCCCTCATTGGGTAGTACGTACATACTATTGATAAATTCCATACTATAACTATCTAGTTGTTCCTGGTTCTCACTGTTCCTGTCACTAAATTGCGTTTGTAATGTAAAATTAGAAGATTCAGTAACTGTCACTCCCCCCCCCCTATTATTGCCCCCAAACACCCTGGTCCGGCTGATAGTGACTAAAATCTGTTCTACCTCTCGAAATCTCACATAGACATGCGTATGCATCCACTGTCAGAGAAGTCCTACTCACTGGCTTCTCGTGCCGGGGATGTTATTTATGAAATTGAGTGGACGAAAAGCAAATATTCGGCGCATAAAATAGGTTGTTGGATGTGTAAGATCCATCTAGAGAATTTGTAAAACCTTAATTCCAAACCACTTGTGTACATGGGTTCCAAGATCATAAGAAAATCACATGATTCGGTTTAGGCACCCCAGTGGTATGCACCGCCCACACACAAATCGAATGATTTGTATTGCTCTAGTATATATATTCAATGCCTTCTTGTACATAATGTTTTATGTTTAAATAAATAACCCTCGCTGCTTTCTGACGGCGGCGATGTTATTTATGAAATTAAGAGGACGAAAAGCAAATATCCGGCGCATAAAACAGGTTGATGGATGTAGAGGGATACATTGATCCTAAGAACATCACGTGATTCAGTTTCGGCACCCGAGCGGTATGTACAACCTACACCCAAATTGAATAATTTGTATTGCCTCCTTGTACATAATATTTATACATAAGATTAGTTTATTGTTCTCTATGTAATATCTATCTGTCTTCTTTTATTATTAGATCTAACTGGTCTTTCATATTTGACTGATATAGAAATGGTACATGATCATGTAGATCGAATCTTTAATTGTTTACAATATTCAAAATTAAATAAACAATTAACTTATATTTTATTAGATCAATTGCTTTTAGAATTATTTCCGGAACTTCATTTAAATAATAATGATAATGAGGAGGATACTATTCATACTACTACTAATACTACTACTGATAAAAATAATAGTAGTATAGATGGTTAGAGTATAACTTATATTCTTATGATTATTATTTCTTCTATGGTAAGTTGGACCGATGCATATGTGTGTGCGTGTGTATCTGGTTCTACGTTGTAGCTGATTGACTGATGATTATAGTATTCTTATGACATATAATGATACTTATATATGAAATATTGTTGTACAGTGATTATATTTGTGTAAGATTCATTCTTTTTTGTTGTTGTTTTGTTTTGCATATTTTGGGATGATGCCATTCTTTCTAAGTGTTACTTATTGTCATATACATTAATGTACCCTTGACCACCCACCCACCCTCTACGCACACACACACACACACAGATACATACTTACATACACAGATTGACAATTGTATACAGATTTATAGATTATCAATATTTTATTGTATCCTGTTCTCTTGTTGTTGTTGTTATGACTTAATAGGCTGATTTCATTCATTTGTTCTCATGGACAAAACAAATAAACAAACAAACAAGTGTACTCTTACAGAATTGTATTATCATTAAATAATAAATCATTGATATATATATGTAGTTGAATATCACTTTTGTTCCTTTTTTTGTGTGTTATTTTGAGTATATTGTGTATGGTTTGTTTGTTTGTTTGTTTGTTTGTGTATACAACATTGATATTACCTAACCCCCCACCCACCCACATACATACATACCCATATATAGGCATGGATACATGTATTATTGTTTATTGTATAACATATCTTTCTTTGTTTTGATTTTGTTTGTTTTTGTTTTCTTTTTCATTGTTTGTTTATTTATTAAATTATTTATTATGATGTTTTTAATGTGAATCTCATTTCTTAGAAGGGTGGGGGTGGAGTTTTTGTGATTTCAATTATATAGAATATCTATTCTGTTATTGTGAATAGAGTAAATAAATGTAGTTAAAAGAAAGAAACAAGAATAATAACAATAAAACATTGGTAGTACATATATATTAGTAGAAGTATGAGTAGAAGTCCTACTCACTGCCTTCTCACAGTGATATTACTATTGTTTACGAAATTAAGAGAACGGAAAGCTATTGTACGGAGCTTTAACCGGGTCGCTGGACACGGAGGGTCCATTTAGGGGAGTTTGAAAACCGTGATTTCAAACCAATTGTGCACATAGGCTGGCTCCAGTATCATAAAGGAACAAATGGAGTATGAATCAATCGTTGATCACCGGCTATCATGGGACTGCATCTCCTTACGATGCTCCACTGTCTTGTGGATCAGATCTTCAGGTCAAAAGATCCGGATGTGGCCCCTAAGAAAACGATCTGCTTCAGTTTGGGCACCTGGGCAGTATCATATCCCTTACACAAATCAAATGAGATTTGTGTGGCTCATATATATATCTGGTGCCCCCTTTATACCAATATTTATGTGTTCAAATAAATAAAATAATAGATGAATGAAATAATCAAAATTAAGAAAATGATTGTTAAGGGGGGGAGGTTTCTGTATAGGAATCAGTTTATATATCAATATGATGACCTGTTTGAACATCTGAGCTACTTGTTCTTACCATTTATCTAGATATTTGAACAACAAGTCATCTGTCTTTTGTTTGTTTTAATACATCACTATGGTTATTAATCGCATAATTTATTCAGGTGCGTTTCATTGTACAACTTACAAAAGGTCTAATCAGAGATATCATGGTTACACGCAATATGTAGCGAAAAGAATAAACATTATTTAGATGTTGATTGACTGGAATGCTAATATCTAACTGACGATCACTCAATATTTGTCATGAAGATCGACCAAGAAGTAAGAAACGGGAACATGTTGAATTGCTTGATACTGAAAATTCTATATTGTACGAAAAATATAATATTGAATTAAGCTAATAATTACTTACTTACGCATGTTACCTATCGTGGAAGAGCATAGGCCGCTCACCAGCATTCTCCATCCAACTCTGTCCTGGGCAATCCTTTCCAGTTGTTATTCATCCTTTTCATATTTGCTTCTATTTCCCGGCGTAATGTGTTCTTTCGCATTACTCTTTACCACTTCCCTTCCAGATTCCAAGTTAGATATTGCCTTGTAATGCATATTAGTGATTTCCTTAATGTATCTCCTATCCACTTCCAACGTCTTTTCTTAATTTCCTCTTCAGCTGGAAGCTAATAATAATGATTATATATATTTTCCAATATTCACTGTATATATGCATACGATATCAGGCAAATTCAAACATCTTTCTATTCATTTAATGAATGAGGGCTGAATGTTGAGGGATAATTTTTAAACTGATGACTCCATTTCATTCGACAATTGAGGATATGCTTCATTGTCGTTTTCATAGAAAGTATAAATGAAAAGCTCTTGATGATTGAAATAAAAATATCCGGTGAAAATCATAGTCCTATAGTAAACATTCCACAAATGGGTTGAAACATTCTAGGATGGTTGAGTTCATATTCCTTATGTTACTCACTTACACTTATTACCCTTCATAGAGGAGCATATGCCTCACATCAGTACTCTCTGATCAACTCTGTCCTAGGTAATCCCTTTCGATTGTTATCCATTCTTCATATGTCGGTTTTCAGTTATCGACGCAATGCATCCATTGGTTTTCCTCCTTTCCCTTGAAGATTGCAAGTTAAATGTTGCCTCGTGATGCAATTAAAGAATACATAAAACTCAAAATGACAGTCAGCCAACATCAAATTCAGAATCTTTAATATAAACATCAAGGTAGTTCTACAATATGGGTTCGGACGCGTTCGACTACTTCACTCTCTATCCTTAGTTCAGGTGTTGACACAGGCCAGTCCCGAAGCAAAAACTTGCATTTAGGGAGGGGAATCGCATTCCAAACATCCTTGCATTGTTACTCAGTGCTATCAAAAGACTGTATTTTATCAGCGTCTTAACCAAACAGGACTATATCATCTGAATATTCTAAGTCGATAAGTGGATCTCCTGTAGAAGATCAATTCCTAAAAACTCAGTCGACGAGAGTGTTATTCTCGGCAGTAGGTCTATGATGAAGTTAAACAAAAATGGAGATAGTGGACACCACTTGAGGTTGCGAAATCAGGTAACAGCTCATCATGAGCTCTCACTCGACTGATGGTGTTTGAGTAAAGAGCATTCACAAGGTTTATGTACATCTGAGGTACACCTTTCAATGACAGACACTGGCACAGAACCTTTCGGTCTACGAAGTCATACGCTGCTTTTGAGTCAAGAAAAACTATCATTGTTGGATGCCGATAAGAATGCCTGTGTTTTAAAACCTGACGAGTAGTGAATATGCGGTCGATACAGCCACGGCCAGATCTGAAGACAGCCTGGTTTTCTCATGTTTGGAGTTCACGAACCTTAGTTAGGCGCACGAAATAATTACTGAGGCTAGTATTTTATATGCTATATTAGTCAAACTAATCCCTCTATGGTTATCACAAGATGATTTTGACCCTTTTTTATATATTGATTGTGACCAGTAAGATGGGATTACGTCTAACTCCCAGATTTTAGCTAAAATATTAGTCAGCCTTACTGCTAAACTGGATCACCATACATAGTCTTCTGTAGCCAATCCATCTGGACCAGCTTTTATTACATTTATTATATACACAGCGAAGCCTTTTCTCAACATGACAACATTTGAAATACCATAAGATGGATTACGATAGCACCAAACGTTGCCCTAGTGAAATGTCATAGCTGAACAGTCTCGTTAACGTAAAGACGCTGTGGACTTTGCGTATGAATACTCTTTTCCAACTTGCATATGGATATACGCCTGTATACAGGTCCCGAGTTGGTTCTATGTAGTTTTCTTTATGGTGAAAGCATAGGAAAAGATCAGTCATTAGCGCCTAAATGTACTCCATAATGCGCTTGTCCTGAGTTTGACACTTGCAGGTGAATACCGTATGATAAAAAGTGTATTGAATCCACTCTAAAATTAAGGTCGGATGAATTTGATCTCCGACTTTTTTGACAGTATTCCAGGAAAGTAAAGATGAAATTCTATAAATAATTGAAAAATCATCACATCACTTTCTAGAAACGACGATTCGAAAAAATAATTTTACAGTTATAAACCTCAATGAAGTTACTGGTAGAAAGTTCTGAACCAAATACTGTGCACTCAGGGATCTCTATTGTTACGTGACTTATCCACAACTCTTACACTCAGAAGGTTTCTGCAGCACTCAAATAGTAACAAACCTCCAAAATGCATTAAAATTTATCTCGCAGTTTTGAGAGAATGTTAAAACTTCGATTCTTATTTCTTCAAGTTCTCAACAGTCTTAGTTGATCTATCATGAAATAGTAGACAGATTACTTACGTCAATAAGTCCGCCTCCGAAGGTTACTGTCGGTCCCAAGCTCTGATAAAGTAGGAGGGTTGGGCATGAGGTTACCGACCTCATCCCGTAGAAAACTAATTCGCTTAAAAAATGCTAACCAGGAAAATTAGTTCAAACCATTTAAACTCTGCTCTGGAATTCACAAGGTCCTCAGTTAAAACAATTATGATGAAAGCCGAGTTCCTTCGAAAGTCACGAAGCCAGTGCCCTTTCTAACAACTAGAGAAACCATTTATCTAGGTACATGGAATGCTTGTACAATGTGAGGGACCGGGAGAGTCTTCCGAATTGCTACATAAATGTAGAGATACAACCTGGAGGTGCTTAGGATCAGTGAAATACATTGTAACAACAACGACTATCTTCAGGGGAGCTTCTATTATACGTCGGCCATGAATATCATTAGGGTTTCCACGTTTATTTTTGTCAAGTTTACATGCCCATGTTTTCATCACTTGTACGTCGACGTAAAAGTAACTGACGATTCTCCTTCAATTACGTCCTTAATTCACTCTAGTTCCGGTTCGATGTTGATGTGTTCATATTTGACGATTCGACTTGATTTAGTGTTACTCCCTCGTTCAGTAATATCTTGAACAACAATGATAGCGACAACAGAAATAATAGTAATAATGATAGATTAAGGTTAAGATGAAGACGAAGAT